AGACTGATGGAGATCAGCAGGGTGTCATAGGACAAGAGGAAACTGGAGATACGGAGGACGCTCCTTCTTCTGATGAGACAGAAAATCCAGTTCCAGAACAATCAGAGGAAGCAGCTGCCGCTGCAGATGTAGAAGTTGAGGAAGCTGTTTCTTCAGATGAACCTGGGAAAGAAAATGATGAAGATGAAATACCTGACATTCCACGAAGATCTGTCCGTACATCAACAGCGACTACTAGATATAAAGATTTTGTGTGTAAACAGACTCAGCCTAAGACAGATTGGTTGATGAGAGCACAGTTTTTGAAGGATGCTGTATCCAGTGGAGTATTCCGAGGATCTGAAGACAGAGTTAAAGATGCCTTACTGAGGATTGTCACTGATACAGATTAGCATTCCCTTTCATATTTTCTTGTTTTTATATTTATCTATTTATTCGACGAGGACGTCTCTTTCTCTCAAGACCAGGGAGAAAGAGTTGTATAGTTTATATTTCGGGTTGACGAGGACGTCTTTCGCAACCAGGGGGAGGATGTGGTAGAGTGGATTTTCTGCCATTCATACTGGTTGCATTGATTATACTATATGTATGTAATTGTAAGATGATTGAATGTGATGTACAGTTGATGAATAAAGAACCCTTGAACTCAGACTTATTTGTAATTGATGAACCAGAAAATTAGACTTTTACAGATATTCAAACACATAAGATGAAAACAAACTGACAATGTCATAGCAAAAAACTAAAAACGATGAAAAAACAGTAAACAGTACACAAAACACAACATAAAAACTACAGACTGAGCAACACGAACCCCACTAAAACCAGGAGTGATCTCAGGTGCTCCGGAAGGGTAAGTTGATCCTGCCCCACATGTGGCACCCGTCGTGTTGCTCATGCGAGTACAAATCCGGTGATAAGTCCAATTCGGTAGGTCACATTCGAGGGAGAGAGGACGGGATTGTGGTTACAACAATTGGAACATATCCGTCGTCATCTGTGAAACAGATATCCCATAACGCTCAATCAACTCGATGGTGTCCGAAAATTTTTCGAAGGGATGATTTCAAATTCACCATTTGGAACTCTTGGTTCAATAGCTTCCTTGTAAGCAGCAACCCTCTATTAAGGAAATCACGAAAGGAAAGCAACCTCTGGAATATTGTATCCACTGGGAGATATATACTCATATGCAGGTGCTGCTGAAATGTTGCTACATTGAAATGGGAAGTTCACAATTGGTAAGCTGAAATCATCTCTTTTGTTGTTAAGTTTTGATCTTAACTGACCCTCTTTGTCAATTTCTAGATGTTAATCAATATGTGAGACAGACTTAACTGTTCCTGTTGTATCCTTTATTTCAAGTTCGATGGGATAGGTCACCAAACTTTGAATTATTTTGTGAGAGGACATAATCTATATAGCGGAACGTGAAGCTAAAGGATAATGGTAGTTTCTTTTCATTCTCCCTAAGAAGCTCCAGTATGAAGTCAGCCTCATATGAATAAAAGAACAAGGCGGCAAGGAGAGGAGCACAGCTGGTTCCAATGGGAATGTCGATTTTTTGTTGAACAAGAGTGCACACGATGAGATGTCTCGCCTTCTTTACTTACCATTGATTTTATGTTGATAGTCCTAAATATAAAGCTTTACTATCACATAAACTTAACAAGATGCAAGAAAATGAGGTCAAGGTTAGATAAACCAAACTGGAGTACATGTACACCTTTCAATCATTCCATACACCAAATATGCTTTAAATATAGTTGAACTATTGCACATAGTATCTAAGAAACAAACTTAACTAGGAAAACTTAATATTGATCAATGAACCATGAAAATGAGGTCAAGGTCAGATGTACCTTGCCAGATAGACATGTTCACCTTACAATCATTACATGCTTTAAATATAGTTGACCTATTTCATATAGTATCTAAGAAACAAACTTAACCAGGAAAACTTAAAATTGACCAATAAACCATGAAAATGAGGTCATGGTCAGATGAAAATTTCCAGACAGACATACATATACACCTTACAATCATTCCATACACCAAAATATAATTGATCTATTGCTTAAAGTACAAGAAAAACAGAGCAAAAAACAAAAACTTAAAATTAAGCAATGAACCGTAAAAATGAGGTCAAGGTCAAATAAAACATGCCAAACTGACATGTACATCGTAAAATATTTTCATACACCAAATATAGTTGACCTATTGTTTACAGTGCTAGAAAAACAGACCAAAACACCAAAACTTAACTTTAACCGCTGAACCATGAAAATGAGGTCAAGGTCAGGTGACACCTGGCAGTTGGACATATACCGATACGCCACACAATCATTCCATACACCAAATATAGTAGACCTATTGCTTATAGTATATGAGAAATGGACTTGACCACGAAAACTTAACCTTGTTCACTGATCCATGAAATGAGGTCGAGGTCAAGTGAAAACTGTCTGACGGTCATGAGGACCTTGCAAGGTACGCACATACCAAATATAGTTATCCTATTACTCATATTAAGAGAGGAATTAAGAATACTAAAAGTCTTAACTTTTTTTCAAGTAGTCACTGAACCATGAAAATGAGGTCAAGGACAATGGACATATCTGGATCTCCTACCTTCTGAAATATTATGCTTTTAAATAGTTAGCTAACGCCGCCGCCGGATAACTATCCTTATGTCGAGCTTTCTGCGACAGAAGTCGCAGGCTCGACAAAAACCAAGTCCTCAAAACGTAACAAATATGTTGTCAATCAAGAAATCTAGTATTTTGATAATGTCAGTTTCGGAGAACTTTTTGGTTGAATCAGATATTTTTTTACAAAGAACGATTTATCCTTCCATGGGAAAGGTACTTGTATCTACGTTGGTCATTCTTTTATATGAAACTAAGCAGGAATAACTCTTTCAATTCATCTTTCAGTTTGGAATAAGGAATACTTGAGTAAAGGGTAGACAATTCAAATGTATTCATAATATTTCAAGAGGAAAGAGAATTAGATTGTATGTACTATAACAGATCTTTCGAATTTTTAAGTATCCACATCTGATTCACACCGCCCAGAGAGTAGGTAGTTTCACAATAACTTTAAAGCCTGGCTTTGATTGCTGATAATATTGATGTTAATATTTAGACAGTGGTTTCATGGAGCACTTGGAAGACCCAGCAATATAACGTTATTTGTAAGGACACTTATCTTATTAAGGTATCCAATACAGTAAAGGAAGATCCAGTTCTTCATTTTTGGTTGAAATTCCAAAGGAACATAGAACAGACCTATGATTATTAGGATTTTCTCCTTGGTAAGTGTCGTGAGAGTATAAGTTGAGTTTCCAAGTGAATTTTCAATACCTAATTAGTTTATCAAGCAGTTTATGTAATGTGATTTACACATAAAAATTATGTTGTTTAGGGCTTTATCTGCGGGGACAACATATTTGTCATGGAGGTAGGACAGGTGCTTAACAACATTTGGGTCTTTGAAGACCGATGTAGCATTTGTAAGGTAGCGATTGAACCATCAAAATGAGGTCTAGGACATCTGACATATGCAGGACGGAAACTTAATCCAACTTTATACAAAATATGCAGGTTTTGGCAACTATGAGATCTGTAGATTTTATGTTAAAGAGCAAATGAGGCTATTGTAATTGGAGGCAGGAAAGGGGTATTTGTGATTCACATTACATTTAGTCTGAAGAATGAGGTTTATCTTGGCAACACACAACAGTGAACAAACTGCAATTACTTCCTTAGATTAAAGACAAAGAATACAATAACCGATTGAGTCCAAATCTTATCAACTACTTCAAAATATTATGGTGGCATTATTTGATTAGAAGTAAATAAAGCTGATGTGAAAGCTAACAGATTCAATGAATAGTTATACCTTTGGCCAACCAAATGTATACACCAGTCAAACTAATGAAAACCTGGGTAATTGGCAATACTTGTGAAATGTTGCTGAACCAGCAAGGCACAATTCAATTCACTTGAAATGACTGGGCCCTGACCTTCCATAAATGATACAAGCTAACGGTCAGTACAAAAATTTGAAAACCACCAACAATTGCATTATCATTAATAAGATCCAAGCAGGAAAGTAAAGAGGTCAATCTTTCCAATTCATGTAATGGCTTTGGCATTAATCATTTTAATTACAGACATGATTTTTGGACTATGCCATTTTACAATCTTGTTTAATGAACAATAATTGCATGAAGTAGCATTAGGATCTTTAAAGGTAGCACAAAAATATTCTAGTAACAATTACATAATTGAACAGATTAAGTACTTGGAACTTTCTTTCATAGTTTGAATGAACAACTCTGCCTGCTCAATGCCAGGATCTCGACCATTGTCGACATTGGTTTTCTAAAATTATATTGTAATAAATGTTTCCACCTTCGAGGAATTTTATGTTTATTACAGATCTTTGTTAAATCAATTCACTATTTTCTACACTTGATGTGATTTAGAGCTTGATATTATTTATAGACAGTTGTGTATTATTAAAGACATCTACTCCATACCTTTTAAAAAACTCTAATACAACTGATCTTTAAAGTATGACTTTGGATCAAGATCATGAAATTGGGTCCTTGACCACAAAAATGTAAAGAATCACTTAAATTCAAGCAAGCAGACATAAACCAAGACCTGGAAGGTGGTCACAGTTTCAACATATTTATCAGCTTTGAATGTGATCTTTTAGAAATGATCTTTGAGCCAAGGTTCTGACACATCATTGGTCATAATTAACACTTGTATGAAACATGTCTTGCATTTTTATCTGGCAGAAAGGCATGTTTATCTGGCAGAAAGTATATGGATATACGACTCCTTGACAAAATCATAATTCTTGAAAAAGCTTAAGCTCATTTTTAAAGACTGTGGAGCATAAATGTTTGTTAATGAACAGATCTTTACTATACTGCCAAAAAAAAATGGCCACGTTAAAATGCAAATAAAATACTGAACTAAAAGTAAATTAAAATAAATAATTTATTAAATATTTAATCACAGATCTCACCATTCATAGACATTCAACACACTGTGTATTTACAAAACAAAACTTAGTACAACTAACGTGATGCAAGTCAAGAAAAATAACATTCATCTCGACTTATAAATTGTCTCGTAGAATTATGATTGAAGTCATCAATAACACATATTAAATATTAATAGGTTTTTAAATTATCTTTGATATCTTCTTCCTCAAGTTTAAGAAATTCTGTCTTTCCTAGACAGAGTACACCAGTACAATCTCACAAAATATCAAATTTCTCACATGAGTATAACACATCCATATGAATGTAAATATATGCTTATATACTAGGTATATATTCAACTTCCAAAAAAACACAATCTTAACATTTCTTTAACTCACATCTTGATAAAAATAGCCACATCCATAATTATCCCCCTCCCCCAAACCCTTCTACTGCCAAATTGTTAAATTGTTTTACATTTTTGTAAAAAGTATGTTACCAGATGCAAAATATGAACTTGATCTTTATACACCCATATAGACTTAGTTCAAAGTCAATAGGTATAACCATATGATGCAGTCTAAGAATGAGGGATAAAATTCAATCAAAATTGGTCGAAAAATAAAATTCTTTATACCATTGAAGTTTTAAATCCTTGACACTAAAGAAACATGAAGTGAAATTAAATCTGATTAAAAAATAATGTTGAAATAAAGACTTTGAAGATATAAAGCAAATTAAACCAATTTATTTTTTAATTATGGTTCACATCTGGTAAACCATAAATGTTACATTGATTATTGACTTACCATTAGTGGTTCCCTTTAACCAAACCTAATCAGAATCTTTAACATGTTAAGTTGTAAACTATGCAAAAATGTCAGTCAGTAGCATGACTGAGTGGACAGAGCCAAAACATCTCCATGGAAAATGAGATACAACTCCTTAAAATGAGCTAATCACAAACTTTAACAATTGTTGACACTGCCATCAAACAGCAGACTCTGTGACTTCTTCAAGGCAAGACAAAAACCATTCCCAATAAAATTGATCAAAAGTACTGTAATTTGATCAGATAAAAAACAACTTAATGCATATACAAACTAACAACAGAAGATACCATGAAGAATAAACTAGTGATGTTAAAACAATTAATAGCACCAAAACAATGTTCAGCAATTTTCAAAATTAGAATATCATAAATCTACTTCAAGCATAATTTCTATTGGAGTAAGCAAGCAATTTGTTAAATTAACATATATGACACATTTAAAATAACTTTTTTTTATCACCTTTTTGCATATAAAAATTGTGGTTTCATCAGTTTCACAAGGAATGGAATTTCCAACTAAAAGAGGCCCAAAATTGAAGCTAAACACATTTTAGAAAAATATCAATTCAGGAACATACATTCAATAATGCTGCTAAAAAAGCAAAAATGTAGCATGGAACCTTTTAATTTGCAACCATTTCAGTCCTAAAATGAAAGATATCTAAATTTGATATTTCAGTCATATTGAAGCCTAATATGACTTTTAACATCTCTTGTTCTTTTTTGAGTGTTAAACTGATGACTTACTATTAATAGAATTCAAATAAATATCAAATTACTTTAAATTCAGAAATTATTATCAAATTCTTGCAAAAATGTGAAAGATGAACACATATATAGCAATAATTAAAACTTGCATTCTAAATTTTGATAGTAGCATACTACAATGTACAAATTAACAGCTATTGCATTAAAATTCACGTACTGTCAGTTGTCCAATATTTCCATAAAATAAATGCATGCATAAAAACCTGAATTACAGTATACTATCATGACTATTATCCACTAATTCTTTTTCGTATTTACTTTAAAAAAAAAAGAAGAGGAAATTAGACAAAATTGATCTTTTTACAATTCAAGCTGTGTTCAATACCTTTTTTTTGGGTTAAATATAATTATAAATAATGTGTTTTCCACCATGGATGAAATGCTCATGTCTATAGCACAGACATTTATTTTCATTAAGACAAACAATGGTGAGGAATTTCTGCCTCCTCAGAATTTATGTTTTTGAATGATTCAAATACAGTAGGTTCTGGGATGGAACATATCTTCATCCTTAGAGGTATCAGTAGTATCGTTTGAGACAACTCAAGTAGGTCACAGTAATCTTAGTATCTTTGCCTATAATTTCAGCAGTATAATCACATCTGTAACAATTCAAATAGACCAATATCACCTTTTTCTGGTTACATCACATTCAAATGGTCAAGTTTGAAACAATTCAAGTAATTCACTGTGACCAAAGTCTCTAGCTATATCCACAGCTGTTAGGTCTCCCATCTTTAAACTGAGGTCTGCATTTGCCAGAATTAATAGCTTAACCACATCTTTATGACCTGAAATGTAAAAAGTTGTAGTTTAAAAGAAGATCCCTGAAAAATATGTTTCATATACAATGTTAATATGTCTAAAAAAAAAATTTAAAGTAATAATAAGATTCAATGGTTATAATATAAGCACTCTTTAGTTCAAACTTGTCACACAGTACTTTATTCCTTTAAATGACAAAGAGATCATTCTGCTTTCATTCATGTGAAGTTAAGATTAAACTGACACTAGATTTCAATAGTATCTTTTTCACTTTATTTGGCAATATGGTCAATATTGTTTGGGTCAAGGTTGATTTAAATTTGCCAATTACAACTGAATTAAAACCAACGATAATAGGTCTATGAAAAACAGAATAAAAAGCAATAACACTTGATCGACAAAATAATGGTAGCACATACATGTACATGAACTTACTTTTTCATTCAAAGTGAAAGAAGATTATATATATATAAATCAATGTTTCACATAGGCTCATACATTTGTGGAAAGGAGATAACCGTCAAGATTGATAAACAGTGTGAAAAAAATAGTATCCAAAGTTCCAAACTTATTCTCGGAAATGATATAGACAACATCAGAAACACAATGATAATAAACAAACCATGCATAACAGCCAGATGTATTGCAGTAGCATTTTCACATTGTGGGTTTGTAATGTTGACATTTATATCAGGGCTTTTAACCAATATGGTGACCATTTCTGTGTTACCATTGTTAGCGGCTGCATGGAGGGGACTGTTTCCTGTATCAGCTGCTTGGTTCACATTGATTTTTGGGTTCACCTAAAAAGTATGAATCAAATTTAAAAGATAATTTACATTTCATGGCGGAACTTTTTAGCTCTTAAAATGCATCAATTTTTCAATATATATCATATATATGTATACAAGAGTAATAATTTGTGCAACTATACTGGCAAATAATTTATGAGAAAAAGATAATTAAGCGAATTAATCTATATATAGACAAATATTTCGGCACAACAAATGACATTCGTTAGTATCAGTACAAAAATGTATCAGTCTTTTTTTCAAAATAAAAAAATAACCAATAAATTTTCTTAATTATTAAATTAACTTGTATTGATTTGACATAATGTACATTGTTACCGTATCAGAAATGACCATACATATATCTAATATAAACTTACTCTGTTTATAAGATATTGTAGAACATCAGGTTGATTGTGCATTACAGCAGTAAAGATGGTTGTCCTGTCATGAGAATCTATGCTCTTTAGAGAAACATGACCACTGACATTATAATAATGTACAACGTCAACAAAACCTAATCTAATAGCCTGACAAAGTCTCACATGATGAATGTCTTCATTGTCCTGATTACTGCTGTGAGATATAGGATTGCTGTGGTGAAGTCTGTCTATCAAATTCCGGTAGAAGTTTACAATAGCTGACCAACAGCTTACAATAGCAAATGACCGAATGGCTAGTAGCCACTGTGCATACTGTTTATTTCTAGTTGAACATTTTACATCAGACAACATCTTCTTATATTCTTCTTTTTTACCAGAAGTGAGAACTCCAAGGTAGTCCAGAAATATATGAGATCCCTTTGAACTGAGCAGCCTACTTGGGTACTCCCTGAACACAGCTTTAGATAAATCAAGTACATCTCTATAATTTATCTTTCTTTGCTCACGCCCAACAGTAAAAGCAAAAGAAAGTTCTTCAGTGAGAATTCCATTTTCTAATTCAAATATCTCCTGTTTCTCAACACCTGGGAAATCAGACAACCAAAAATGAGCAAAGCGAACAAAATTATCACCAATGTTACAGAAACTGGAAAGTTTTTCCACACTTTCATTAGCACGGGTCAACCATGCTGAAACCACTGTTGCATCCATATAACACATCATGTTATCAAAGTTTGTTTGTTTAGGAGATTGTGAGACACCAATTGGTTGAGATGATATATCTACATCAAAACTGGAGGATGGTCGCAAAGGTGGTAGTGGCATGTGTTTCTGTGGCAGATCATGCCTATATGGGACAGTATGTAAAACCTTTTGCTTTTTCTTCCTTTTACGTTTTGGTTTTGAGTCACTGCCTGACAAATCTAATGAAGTTGATAATGGTAATTCTAATGAATTGGACACTTCAGGTGGAGTTTCTCCATTAGTAACACAACCAGAATCCGGAGAAAAACGTTTCCCCGATTCATTACGGCTATCACATGAATCCGTACTGCCTAGAGACAGACGATCAAAATCATTGGTTACGTTGTCATCATCTGATATAAACTCCTCATCACTATCTCTTACTGTCAAACGAGACACACAAATTAAGTCACGTAAGTCCCTAACACCACGACTCATTGTTGTTTATCACAGATATTAGCTAACGCCAGTAGTTATTTTGAAACTACATTTTCAAGCAAAATCGATTTCTGCTTGGATTCTCATATCTGTAGCTAGTTGGAAACTTACAATTAAAACTGGTAAACGAATCCTTGATTGCCAAGCAAGCCTGAAGAAAAATATTAAAACTGATGACAATTTACAGGAAAAAACAGTGTAACGTCCAACCAGGTACCGAATTACTTCACACATTAGTCACATATCTTGCATTTATCAATTTTCTTCAAAATCTAAAAAAAGAATAAATAAAATATTATCAACAGCTGAATTGTTTATGCTCAGTGACTAGCCATCTGACATACAATATGAGTGGACTTTAAAAAAATGTCTCTATAATTCAATTTTTAAGTTTTGTGGTGAGAAAAAGTTATATTTGAAATAGGTACATATGTATTTTCATTTTCTAATTTGTAGTTCAGTCATCAAAGCTTTAGGATGTGGTTAACAACTGGCTGCATTTTGCAGTTGAAAGAAATGTTATACTAAATGAACAAGAATGCAAATGAAGTTGTGCTCAACATACCCCTACTCGTAAAAAAGCATTGGAAAACAGGAAGGAGGTGTCTAACAGATCCTTAAAACTCATCGCTGATGAGCTGCTGACCAAATATGTACCGGGTAGTCATTCTGTTCAATAATATTGGAGAAATGTGTGACGAAAATTTTAAAGTTCATTCAACCTATATACAGTCGATTCCGGTTATTTGCATAGCCTATTTGTCAGACAAAATTATGCAATTAAGCGGAGTATGCTTATATCCGAAATGCCAAATTACGGAGTCAAATAACATCGATAGTACAGATCAGTAAAGGAAATCCCTGAAGAAAGATGAACGTCCATAATCCACTTACAACATATTGAATGCTTATTTATTCTAATAAAAGTTATGTGTCTAGTGTTGTACATGTTATTTTATTTTGTATTCTTTCAATAAAGTTTATAAACACATTTTGTTTTAGTTTATTTGCGTACCGACTTTTCCTTTACCTGAGATACGAAAATAAAACTAATTGTTCTAAAAATAGATTTGTTTCTATGACCCGGATGTACAATGTACATTGTTACGCTTTGATTAAATTAACTGTTTAACAATACTACACAGTTTATAATCATTTTAAACAATAAATGTGTACTAAACTGCCTTTGATATGCAGTATTTACCGCTTGCACAGTGATGTAACACTGTTTCTTTAACCTCGTTAGTTTCGTATATGCAAAGCAGTTAACAGGTAATGGGGCCCTGTACGGGATTTTTGCAGGACACGAGTGTTGAAAGAGAGAAAATATAATAATTAGAAGTTGATTTTCTATTCAAAAAATATTAAAAATAAAAGATTGATGAATAAAATTCTTCAACCATATATAAATGCCCTGTAATATTTAACATAAGTGTAGATCACTCCAAGCCGAATTACGAGAGTACACATTGGATAATGATCGATAATTAACAGGGGTTATTGTTTTTAAAATTCACCCCAAATGTAATCTATGAACAATGTTTGAAATCCAATCAATAATTAACACCTTTTGAGATAGATTGGACGTGTTTTTACAACAATCACCTGTTTGACATTTTTATGACCTCGAGGCTTAAAATAGAACATGGGAAACTTTACCTGTATACACATCGAGGCTTATTTTATAATCATATAAACACGAAAGAAACTGTTTTAAAACTTTATTTAGATAACACAAAAGTAAATATGAAATAATAACGAAAATTATGATGCATTCAAGAAAAATATACTTACCAAATTGCCGTTTCCGGTCAAAAATCTCGTCAGTTTTAACTAAGCATATCTAGCTGGCGAATATTTTCTATGCAATTAACCGAAAGGCCACTTGTAAGGCTATGCATATAACCGGACAATTTAACATTAGATGAATGGGAAATGGTTTTGTGCAGGAGAAAAGTATGCAATTAACCGAATTATGCTATTAAGCGGTATGCAATTAAGTGGAATCGACTGTATTGACAAATTCAAAGTATCGTCAAACAGGAAGTAGGTATCTCATGGAACAAAAAAGTGCTCACATGTTTGAACTTATCACTGACAAGCTGCTGGCCAAAGGTGAAAACAATCTGTTTAGTAGTTTCTGAGAATAGTGTGACAAAATATTTTTTTAGATAAACATCCCAATCAAACTTGTTGAATAGGGGTATAACTGGTTTGCTAGGTCTATGTGCATCTTCAACAATGGACCCTCTCTGATATTGAGGACTAGAATAGAATTCATGACAAAACTTCTTATTTGTTGATCTTGTATTCCTGATCATTTTTTTTGTTTACGGTTTCTCTCTATCTTCTTTAGTTAATGTTCAGAACATAGAAAAGGGTAAAAACAAGCATTCTGTGAGTATTGCATGGCAATACATAGTCCCCTACCAGTTAAAAATTCATTTTATTGGAACAAAATTCTAACCTGATCTATAACTTGTCATGATGTAAACTGTATAACAAATATATCAAGTAAATATCTTCAAGCATGACAAAAAAAGTGTTGAAAACTGATTATTTAAGTGAATTTTCTAAGTCCAAGGACCATAACTCTGCACAAAATCATCAGACTGGAACAAAATTCAAACTTGAACTGTAACTTGTCATGATAAAACTATATACCAATTATCAAATCAATATGTTCAAAAATGGCAAAACAAAATGTGGAAAACTGATTATTTTAGTGAATTTTCTAAGTCAAAGGACCATAACTCTGCACAAAATCATCAGACCGGAACAAAATTAGAACTTGATCTGTAGCTTGTCATGATAAAACAATACACCAAATATCAAATCAATATCTTTAAGCATGAAGAAAAAAGTGTGGAAAACTGATTTGCCAGACAGACGGAGTGCAAACCTAAAGTCCCCTTCAACGGTAGGGGACTAAAAATCATCATTTAAAGGCAGTCACTCCTATCTAGTCTACTAACAATTTCAGCAAAATTTGACTTACAAATGTACTTGAAGGTCTTGTTTTGCTGATCATGTTTGCTATTTTTAAAAAGTGTCTCATGTTCTCTTTTCTTGTTTTCAAGACACTAGGCAAAAATGCAAAAAATTGGTAAAAATAACTCCAATAAGTAGTCAACTGATGATTTTGGGCCATTAAAACTTCTCAGTAGATCTGTTCTTGCTAATCATTTTTTTCTTATTTCAGTTTTTATCCATCTATTGTAGTTTTTAAGATATTAGGCAAAATGCAAAACATTGGTAAAAATCGTTAGAAAAGGGCAACAATTCTGACAAGGAGTCTTCAGATGATTTCACCTTTGTCAATTTATTTGTAGATCTTGTCTTGCTGATCATTTTTGCTGTTTAAGTTGATTAATCTAATAGTTTTCCAGATAATAGGCAAAAATACTAAAACTGTGTAAAAAATATTTATTACAGAGCAATGACTCCAATAAGAAGTTGTTGAATAATTTTGACCATGTTGACTTACATGTATTTGTAGATCTTGTCTTGCTGAACAAAATTTTACTCATTAATAATTTCTATCTTTTATTGTTCTTAAGATACTAAACAAAAGCGCAAAAAAAATGGGTAAAAATTGTCAATCAAGTAAAGGGAAATAATCCCAATATGGAGTTGAGGACGATTTCAGCCAAGTGAACTTATTTGTCATGTTTGTAAATCTTGTCTTGCTGATTTTATTTGCAATTTAAAGAATCTCTATCTAACATAGTTTTTGAGATAATAGGCAAAATTGATTTTTTTTCAAGAAAATAAGGCGCTGTGACCCCCTATTAGTATTTGATATTATTATTAATAAGTAATTCTCTCATTGAATTTAAACCAATTCTATCATTTAATGTTTCCTCATCACTATTTGTCCCCCCGTGACCATGATGACTGGAAATCACAGTCATTCCCATAAAATTTTGATACAACAACAAAAAATGAATAGGGTATGACATCAATAGCTCAAAAGTCTCAACTTTAAGGGTCAAATGTTGCAAATTCACAAATAGAGATAAAGTATAAGATAGTAGGTTCAAATCTAGATGTAAAGACCCTGTTCTAAAGTAAACAAATGCTATATGATTACAAGGACAAATGATTCTATTGGTACCAGATGATTATAAAGATACATGTAGGTAAGTCATAAATTAAGACCCAAGATGTTTAAACAGGTTGGGACCAATCACCAAAATGGATTAATAATCAATTGGGGTATTAAGCCCAAATGGGATATAAATTTAGTGCAAAAATATAAACTTTTGAATTTAGTAAAAATATTGAAAAAATGCATTTGTTTTTAGGTCAAAAGCAGCAACTTTTGGTATGCGACTTTTCCAGAAAATGATTAAAAGTTGCAATTGGGCCACACTTAAAAATATTTTGGTTTGCCCAAACCCTACCCAAAGGTATAGACAGTGGGTAGGTATACGTAGGTAGGCATTTTCTTTTTTTTCGGCAAAGAGAAATTGAAGTGTCAGATGTTTTTTAGTCTTCATGCCTATCTGATTAAAAAAAAAAACTTTTTCACATCAGGACAATAAAAGATTTTGAGTAGGCAGCTACATTGTATTTTCTGGGTAGGTAGGGTTAGGGCAAACAAACATATTCTTTTTTATGGCCTTGCTACACTGGAGATTGAAAACATCTTCCAAGGGATCAAACTCATAAACAAATTAGGGAACCATTCCCCAAATGAGTAACACTCCTTCAATTGAGTGATAGTTGAATACCGCCAAAAATGATTTCTTTTAAGTTGAGTCTTGTTACTTAATATGGAACAAATTTATGGAAAATGGCACAATTTTTGCAAAAGAACTACATTAATATTTTTGATTTTAAAAAGTTAGTACAATGTAGCCTTGAAAGTTGTCAATTTCTAGAAGTTTTCTTAGGCTTTTAACTTCCTAGTAAATAAGTTTAGGACTATTTATCTTTTGAAAAGTTGCTGCATTCTTCATGAATAAATACCATCTGAAGTATAAAATGTGAATTATAAAAAAAATAATAGAACAGAGTTCCAATCATGAATGTCCCCTGCATTGCACATATTTTATCTATCCAAGTTACAAGTGCAATAACTAAAAAAAATACTTTTTTTTTTGTGCTTTAAAACTTTGTATAAATACTTTAGAGAAATGAAGGCTTCAGAGCAAATGCAATGCAATTTTCCATATAATAAATATTTCCAAGGGGCATAATTCTTTTAAAAATAATAGATCGGCACTGATTTTCGAACTCATTCAAGACATTGCCGATATAAACCTATGATATAAGTTTCATAAAAATCTTGAAAGAAATGTACACATGAGAGCGCTAACGATGCATTTCCATATATATAATGTTTCCAAGGTGCATAACTCTTTTAAAAATAATTGATCGGCACTGATTTTCGAACTCATTCAAGACATTGCTTATTTAAATCTATGATATAAGTTTCATAAAGATCTTGCATGAATTGTACATGAGAGCACTAACAAAACCGGATGGATGGACAGACGGACGCCCCGTATTTCTATGTCCCCTGCAACGCATTGCTCAGGGGACAAAAATTGACTCTGGAAAATTATTTCTCATTTGAAGGATAGCTACTCATTTGGGGAACTCTTCCCCATTTGGCACGTCTTCCTTAACCTGATAGACAACTGGTATCCTAAATACCTGAAAGCTCCTGAAAAAAAAAAACTTGATAGGACCTTGATATTTCCAGAATTTGAGGGTATCAAATATGGTTTAATACAGGTAATATTGATAATATAGACTATGATTTTGAGATATGATTTAGTTTCAGGATTACAATTTTATGTGTCTAGTATGCAAATTCTTTTTATACAGGTTGATCATTGTTGACATAATTTTGGTTATCTACAACTAAACAAGTCGGTAAAGAGCACTACAGAGCTCATATTTACTAAGTCAATTTGTACATGATCATGTCCGGCTCTAAATAAAGTTTTACTTACTTACCATCTGTAAAGCAAGAAACTGAACAGAAACGAAATATGAATCATGAGAAACATAACACAACAAAACAAAAATATGTATTTTAGGTAAAGAGGCATACAAAATTACCTTTAAGTTTCTGAATCACCCCATAATCTGTTTAGATGTCAAAAATGTTAAATATCAAGGTGCTTTCGGGTTTTTAACAAGTTTTTGGAAAAGTTTTATTAGGTATTCAGAAAAGTTGCTAACCAAAAGATGTAATCATATGTACTTTGTAATATTTTCCCTTAAATCTAAATTTAAAAAAATTTGCACAGCCACAGTAAATTTATATCACCCATTCCCCCTTTTCTTTCCTTTTCAACTTGAGCATTTCTATGTAAAGGATTTTATATGAAGATTTTGGCTCGTAAAAAAATTGTTAATATTTATTAAATGCTCATCATTAACATTCAAAAGAATCTTCACACTTATATTGCTCGATAAACTAACTTTGGTTGTCATTCGTCATTCTGCAGTTTGTTATTTCTTCGGTGTCACAAAAACGCATTGTAAAGATAACCCACTTTCCGTTGTCCAGATCACGAAAACGTTTTACGAAGTGGGAGGAGGATGGAAATAAAACTTGATGGAAAGAAAGCTTTAGTGACAGGAGCCGGGAAAGGTTTTAATATACGTTTCGCATAATTCTGAACAATAGCTTTTCGATATCTTTTTTCATAGTTTGTTGTCGAATATGCTTAAGGGATTTTATAAATCAGTTGATGATATATCTAAATACCCAAAAGACCTGACAAATAATGACTATGTGTATCCCTAATTTAATCTTATGACAATGTGTGGCAGATGCTTCCTGATGAGTTCTAGAAGGAGGGTCGTAATGGGGTACATTCATGACGAATAACGGTAAAAAATCTTGCCAAATGACGTTAATAGTAATTTTTGGTGCATGACTATAAAATGTTCATTTTCTTTATGATGATAAAATAATTGACTGATTTGATGAATGACGTTAAATTCTTTCCAAAAATAACAGGAAACGGATAATTATTTGAGACCTCTGACGAATCATAATATGGATATTTTGTCGAATCACGATAACATTTTAACCAATTTGATTAATGTGAGCCGAAAAATGATCGTTTGATGCCTGACAGTAAAGGGCATTCCTACCCTCCAGAAGGTTATTGTTTTTGTCGAGCCTTCGACTTTTGTCGAAAAAGCGAGACATAGCAATCCTACATTCCGTCGTCGTTGTCGTCATCAGTGGCATCCACAAATATTCACTCTGTGGTTCAAGTTTTTGAAATTTTAATAACTTTCTTAAACTATCCTGGATTTCTACCAAACTTGGACAGAAGCTTGTTTATGATCATAAGATGATATCCAAAAGTAAATTTTGTAAAAAAAAAAAATTCCATTTTTTCCATATTTTACTTATAAATGGTCTTAGTTTTTCTGCCAGGAAACATTACATTCACTCTGTGGTTAAAGTTTTTGAAATTTTAATAACTTTCTTAAACTATCCGGGATTTCTTCCAAACTTGGAAAGAAGCTTGTTTATGATCATAAGATAGTATCCAGAAGTAAATTTTGTAAAAAAAAAATTATTTTTTTCAGTATTTTACTTATAAATGGACTTAGTTTTTCTGCCAGTTAACATTACATTCACTCTGTGGTTAAAGTTTTTAAAATTTTAACAACTTTCCTAAACTATCTTGGATTTGTACCAAACTTGGACAGAAGCTTGTTTATGATTAAAAGCTAGTATCTAGAAGGAAATTTTGTTAAAATTTTGTTCCATTTTTTCCTTATTTTACTTATAAATGGACTTAGTTTTTCTTCCAGTTAACATTACATACAGTCTGCAGTTTAAGTTTTTAAAACATTTATTAGATTCATAAACTATCCTGGATTTTTACCAAACTTGGACAGAAGCTACTTACAATCAAAAGATAGTATAGAGAGGAATATTTTTATTAATTTTTTTCCTCATTTTTGTTGAGCCTGCGATTAACAGCAAAAGTAGGCAAGACACTGGGTTCCGTGGAACCCTTACGAATTTTTTTAACAAGAGGATTTGCGAATTCTTGTTTTACTTGTTAGCTGCAATGTCACATGACTTGTCTTCTTAAGTACAGTGGACTGATTTACAGTAGTCTACTCGCTAGTCCATCAAACAGACTCAAGATTTTCAATTGTTGCAAACATGGCCTATATACATGAATTAACTCATCCCTGTGTGTGTCTACATAATTAATTTGCTTGCTGACTTATCTTGGAGACACTGAATTAAGATGAAGGTCAATTAAATGGCCTAATTTTCACACAAAGTATGTCACTCAGACTTCATTTTACACTTCATTGACTTACTTTTTAGTATAGTTTAATGTTGGAGTTAAGATCTCAGAAAATTTTTTGGAATCAGTAAAAGTAATTAAGCCATCAGTTTACATATGAATTGACTTTTTAAAACGGAAACTAGCTGATTATCTCCCTTATTTCATAGAATCAGTTTAAGCTGGGACTATGTTAGTATAATAGTCCCTGGTTTAAGATACAGCTATCTCTTGATACCTGTGAAATGACTCTTTAAATAGGAAGTTACTATTTTTTACTTCCTGTGATAAAAATTTTTCTGCATATCTGTATTAAAGTTCATTTTCAATATCTATTTATTTTTTGGACAATTTCAATCAGAAAATATGGTTCAGAACAAATTATAAAATAAAGGAAATCTCAACATTGGAAAAAAATAAAGTCCAACTGCTGCTTAAAGCTATACACTAATTTCAAGTTGTTTTTTGATGAATGAGTTACACCCGTTGACCCAAGGTCAATTGGCGTAAACGACGTCATCAAACAATCGGTTCTTACTGTGAAGTAATAACATAAGCATTGTGACGTAGGAATTTTACAGAATACTGCACGAATTCAAAAGTCGTCTATAGGAGTATATGGATGCATAAAGGGAAATAATTTATTGATCACTAACTGATATCATTGTACATGTATTTTCAGGGATTGGTCGTGCCATAGCTAAGAAATTGGTTGAATGTGGTGCTGAGACTTATGCTCTTAGCCGAACACAGGCAGATCTTGACACTTTAAAAAAAGAGGTAATTTTATACAATAATTAAACTCCATTTGGTGAACCATTTTGAGTATTACTTTTATACAATAATGTATTCCCTTTTCAAGAGAAGATTGTATTGTTTTAGTCTGTCTGTCTATTACTGGTTATCTTTAGTTGAAATTTTGTTTCACTTTTAAACAAGGAATTATATGAATCTGGAATAATTTTGAATTCTGGAATGTATGATGAAAACTAACTCAATTAAAGAGGGTTAGCCATGCAGGGTGTTTGTTAATTCATACTGAAATATCAGTGAAAGGAACTTCAACCTTAGCCATGCATGCATAGGAAAAATAGACTTTGTCTCTTCTTTTTATCAGAAAGTTTGTCAATGAAAAATCTCCTTCAGTCCCATATGCTGTGTCCTTGCTGGACTTAAAAGGATGAAATAGAAATAGTTCATAAATTAAATTTTCACTGCTCTTATTATATGTTTGTGTGTCTATCTTGTTAAATGTTACTATTTACAAACATCAATCCAGAGCACCCTGATTCTTACAACCATATAAGAATCAAGTATATAACACATTCAATGCAAAATCTCCTGCAATCAATGCAAAATCAACCCTTTACATTGGAATAAATGAGACTCAATACACTCACTTCATGTCTGGTAGTTGTACATTACTTAATTTTGTGTTGATTAAGATAAGAAGAAACAAGGAATCATATTAAATTTTGTTAAACAAATTCTAGATTAAATATGCAATTGAAATGTTACCAGAAAAGATACACATTTAAGCTAAATCTGTACATTTGCTGATAATTCACATACATATAGTAAAACTGCAGCAATAAATGGATTGTCACCCTGATTTAGCTTTTTAATGTACATTATTCTAAATATTTTTTTCTAATATTCAAGATAAAAATGAAAAAATCATCACCTTTGAGCATTGCCAAATTTGAAAAAAAAGAATATATAAAGCTTTAGAGGGTTTTGAGCTCATTTACTTACCCATCCCCCATTAGATATCTTGATTGCTGAGAATACCAATATTTATGTTATGTATAAAAAAAAATGTTACAGGTACTATCAATCCACTTCATACAAGTTGTACAAATATATGATATAACGAGGAAAGTTTCATGACCTTTATAGGGAAAATGATTTAAAAAGTGATTAATAGTTCATATTCTACATTTTATTCATGTTCTGGGTTTTTTGTCTCCCCTTGACAGAGTAAAAATGCGAGACATAGGTATGCTGTTTCCGGCGTCGTCGTCGTCAACAATGTATTAGTTTGTGATTAGGTCTAGTTTATGGTGAACCACTAGCGGTAGGTCAATGATATTTGGTATGCAGTTGAATTAGCATTGGCACATCTCATTACCATGGAGATTATTTGGCCCCGCCCCTCAGTCATGGTTTATTGACTTTGAAAATTTTGTTTAGTTTTCATGTATTAGTTTGTGATTAGATCAGTTTATGGGGAACCACTAGTGGTAGGTCAATGATATTTGGTATGCAGTTGTATAAACATATGCATATCTCATTTCCATGGAGATCTTTTGGCCCCGACCCTTCAGTCATGGTCTATTGACTTTGAAACTTTTGCTTAGTTTACAAGTTAATGTTTGTGTTTAGGTTTCTTTAAAGGGAACGACTTATGAAAAGTCAATGGTATTTGGTATGCAGTTGTATTAGCACATCTCATTTCCATGGAGATTGTTTAGCCCTGTACCTTTAGTCAGGGTTCATTGACTTTGTATATTTGCATAACTTACATGTTAAAGTATTGTTATTTTAATTTCAACATTTGCATTATCAAAATAACAAATAGGCGAGACATATCTCTGTGTTAACAATTTATTTTTCTTTTTGTCTCTCAAAATTTTATCGATTACCATAAGGTAAAAATAAATTATTTAAATGCCCTTTTATAAGCACAAGCCCTCATGTGTAGTCAAGGTCGTTAAAAAAAAACCTCGTCGTAAATATCATATACATTAAAAAAGTGTCTTTGTTTGAAGAATTTTAAATGAAAGTAAAAGCAATTTTAGAAGACCTTATATTTCTGAGTGGATCAGGGTAAATGATTACGTATACCATTGTACTGCACTAGAGATTTACACTGATAAAATATATTTCCTTTTGCTATATCATATATGATCATTTATATTGAAATTATATGTGGTGATGTCTATACAAATTATCTCCCCTTTCATTACCAGCAGTAGCATGGGTTACAAATGCATATTGTCAATAAAATCTTAGTGAATGCAATTTTTGGTTAATTTTGATGATGTGTTAAAGCATTGACAGAAGCACATTTTGTTCTGGCTTCATTTAAAACCATGTGCACAGTATATGCTTTCACACTCCAATAAAACTGCAAAAGTGTGCATTCAGTGCTTATAATTACACATTTCAAAATATGTGGAAGAAATGCTGTATTCTCATCATATGGGTATTTGCATATTCATTACATAAGTATTGATTGAAAGTTGTTCAGATAAATGTGAGCCTGTCCAAAAGTTATGAATTTTATTGGGTAATAAAACTTCAAACAATAAAACAATTGACCAATCAGAATGTCAGAATTGTAAGAAGTTTACAAGTAATGTTATTATATGAATATAGATTCTACTATATCAATCTCAAAAAATCTTGGTCTTCATCAGCAGGTACTTGCATCTTTTACAGGTACCCTCAATGCATGTGATCCAAATTGACTTACAAGAATGGGATAAATCAAGGGAGACAATTGCTAAGATAGGACCAGTTGATTTATTAGTCAATAATGCTGGTGTATCTAAATTGGCTAAGTTTACAGAAATGAAAAAAGAAGATTTGAATTAGTAAGCATTTTAAATTATTTGGACTATAAAATCTGTTTTGCAACTATGAAAAAAAACAGATGTAAAAAATAAGGAAATATGATATCAGAGGGGCAATCAAAACCATTAGTTGAAGAAAGAAAGACAGACAGACAACACTATGGCTTATAGAAAAAAACATGAAAACAGAGAACAAAAGTCCACAAAACACTACACAAAAATATAAAGATTAAATAACACATACCCCATAAAAAGCAGGGGTGAACTCATGTGCTCTAGTGGAAGCTCTGTTGTCGCTTTGTAAAAAAGTTGCATATCGTGATGTAAAAATCCAGAAAAAAAATTGTTTGCTACAAGTGGAAAATATCAAAGAATGATCAATGAATAAACATCAGTTCATCAGAGTGAGCCATACTAGATCTGCATTAGACTAAAATTAGGAAGAGATAGCCACAATCAATGGAGAAATTCTTGACATGGAAAATTTAAGGCACATATGCAGGGTTAATTTAGTTTTGTAAATATTCAGCCCTTTGTCATTTATCTCGATCAGTGAAAAGACAAAAGATATATGCATACAAATGTTTATTACAAATCAAAAGTAAAAAGTAAATAATCAAATAAATTAGTTGAACAGAATATTAAAATAGTACATACATATACATTTTGTGTAATATCCCATGAAAGAATGCACACAATCTCTTATACTGTGGATTCATTATTATACCAATTTTAATGGATTTCATGGGTATTGGTAAACCACAAATTTAAATGTACAATGAAATATAAACTTTCTATAGGCTTGTATGCAGACATGGACAAGACGATAAAATCAAATACGAAAATTGGAACATGTATCCACAAAAATAAATGAATCCACTGTTGCAATTTTAAAGTATTACATGTAAGTCTGTTGATTATGAAATCATGCATTCATAAACTCTGTTATTAGTCCCCTACCGACGAAGTCGAAGGGGACTTTAGGTTTGCACTCTGTCTGTCTGTCTGTCTGTCCATCCATCCGTCAGTCCGGCAAATCAGTTTTCCAGACTTTTCATGCTTGAAGATATTGATTTGATATTTAGTGTATTGTTTTATCATCACAAGTTACAGGTCAAGTAAGATTTTCACGATTTTAGCTTTTCTTCTTGTTCAGTTAAAGCCCTTTCCCTAGAATTAAATTTTTGATGAAATACTTATTAATTACTAGATTTCTGTTCAAAGGGAAATAACTCATTTTGTAACTTTCCCTAGAATTAAAATTTTTGATGAAATACTTATTAGATTTCTGTTCAAAGGGAAATAACTTATTTTTTTTAAAGATTTTTAAAAGACATTGTATTAAGATAAATGACATTTTGGATTTTTTTCCTTTTCTTTAGTAGATTGTTTGAAGAATTTAGTGGTAGGTTTGTTTGTTATTTTATGTAGTTTACACCATGACAAGTTATAGATCAAGGTAGAATTTCATTCCATTACAATGTATTTTTAACCGGTAGGGGACTATGTATTGCCATGCAATACTCACAAAATGCTTGTTCTAAATAGCTTTTGATATATCAGCATCAGCAATTTGATAAAATTTTCAAATGTTAATTAGGGATTTTTTAATACAGATTTAATGTATAGTATTACATAATGTACAAAAAACAATGAAAAAAACTGCAATATTTAATTATTCAATCATATTTTACAGTGTGATGGATGTCAATTTCAATGCTGTTTTCAATGTATCACAGGTCAGTGTTTCAAAGACTCTTTAGATATTAAACTGCTGCTTAAGTGATGGATTTTTAATTGGTTATTACCAGAATTAGAAATAAGAAGATGTGTTATGAGTGCCAATGAGACAACTCTTCATCCAAGTCACAATGTATAAAAAGTTGATAATTATAGGTCAAAGTTCAACCTTCAACACGGAGCCTTGGCTCTAGTACACTTAAAAACACAATTAACCTTGATTCTGACTGGTAAATGAATTTAATTTCAAGTAAATTTTCTTATGTAAACAGTCTGCTACTAAATTTGATCTTTTGAACAGTTTCGACAGACACATTATATAAAAGAAAATAGTGAGCTGGTTTGTAAAAAATATTTATGGTAAACTTCCAGGAAAGACTCTTGTAAACTATATGTGCCCAATGGATACTATCATTATGTTGATCTTATGTGAATATAACATTTACAAGGAGACCACAGCAACAAGAACATTTCGTCATGATATATTGTAATATAAAAAAAAAAAACATCAATTTATATCATTCATCCTAATCCTTGCATCCATATTAACGGGAAGATAAATATAATTCAGTGCATTGGAGATTTAGTTACTCACATCAATATATGAATCAGTTAATTTTGCTCAGTGTTGCTAAGAATTATTTCTTAAACAACAAGTTGAACTGTGAGTTATTGCTCTTTAAGGATACCCCCACTATGAGTATTCTGTAAACAGGAAGTTGATAAGCGATGGATGTGAAAACTCATCGCAGGGAAAAGCATGCTCACATGAAGCTGATACAAAATTTCAGGAAGCTCTTATTTATATATCCTGAGAAAAATGTGACAAAAATTTCAAACATGGCTATTATATGTAAAAATATACAAGTATTCTGTAAACAGAAAGTTGACGAGCGATAAATGTGGAAAGGTTTCACACAGAAAAGCATGATCACAAGAAACTTGCTACTATTGTTTAGGCAGCTCTGATTTGTAGTTCCTTAGAAAAATGAGACAGACAGACAGGGATAAACCAGTATAACCTATATACTATAATCCCCTGCCTCAAGCCAGGGTATAATGGATATGAAAACCATTTTACAATTTAAGCAACAAGTCTTTCCGAAAAAAAAAATACAGTAGAGGAAGTGGTCATGAAACAATTGCAGATTGTTATCCCTTAATTTACTTAAGGCTATTTTCGATTTGGATTTTGAAAAGTTTCCTATGTTCTCAGAAAATGTCTGTCCTTATGTCTAAGGCACCATTTTATTCTATAGGTAGTAGCCAAAGCAATGGTGGAGAGAGGAGAAGGAGGAAGCATAATTAACATATCAAGTGCTGCCTCACAAGATGCTTTGATGGATCATGCAGCATACTGTCCAAGTAAAGCTGCTGTTGATATGCTAACAAAATGCATGGCCCTGGAGCTAGGGCCTCATAAAGTAATCTTTGTTATATGTTGATAAATTTTGGTTATAAAGTAGCAGTTTTATACTGAATAAGAGTTTTGATTGTACCTATTACCGGTACTTCATGTAGTCTAGACCCTGTGCAGTTATTGATTGTTTAGTTCCTTATCATGTTTAGCTATGATCTTACCTGTATCTAATCATACAATTTGTTGTATTTGTTGTATTAAAAAATAATTGCCGTAATACTTGTCAAAGAGTTTGAATGATCAGTTGTGTCATGTGATTCAGTAAAGTTTTATTTGTTAGTAAATTATTTCAACAAAATTAGAGATAATGGTAAACTATTGCATTCTTAACAAGTATACATCAATCTGTTTAAATTTGAAGATAAAGCATTTTATTAATGGTTTTCCTCATCTGAGAAGTTAAGGCTCAATCATATATATGTCATTATGGGTAGACACTGCCTTTGTCATGCCCATCTTACTGTCAGTCACAAAAGTTTTGAATGTCCAAATATCTTTCTAAGAAGTTAAGGCTCAATCATATACATGTCATTATGGGTAGACACTGCTTTTGTCATGCCCATCTTGCTGTCTGTCACAAAAGTTTTTGAATGTCCAATATATCCTTAAATATCTTTAAAATATTAATTGATTTTATAAAATTACTAAATGGTATGATATGAACAAAACAGTGACAGTAAATGACTAATTCTTTAATACTTTCTTTTCAGATCCGAGTCAATAGTATTAACCCAACAGTAACATGGACAGATATGGCAAAAATGCACTGGAGTGACCCTGCAAAAAGTGAACCAATGCTGGCTAAGATACCTTTAGGCAAATTCATAGGTAAAAATTAGATATTTATGCCCCCGCTGCGGGCAACAGGGGCATTAAGTGTTACTATTGGTTGTCCGTCTTTCCTTTCGTCCCATTTTGGTTTCCGTACTCTAACTTTTGGACAGTGAGTCACTTACTATTCTAGAGTTATGTCCCTTTATAACTTTAAAAATGTTTCTGCACTCTAACTTAAGTTTGCCTCATGCAAATTTTATGAAACTCCTACACAATGCTAAGAATCAAAACTCACAGACAGAGTTTGAATTTGGACAGTGAGTCAATTACCGTTCTAGACTTATGCCCCTTTTTAACGTTGAAAATTGCAAAGCTTGAGCGGGGGGCATTCATGTCCTCACACATTCTTCTTTTTATTTTAGATGCTGAGTTTAATTTATAGAATTTTTTAATAATTTTGTTGGAAATTCAATACGCTTGATTCATATCATCTGCATTACCAGAAAAACTCTTGTACTTTAAGCTGATTTTTATTGTCATTTACATGTTATATGGGCAAACTGGATCCCAGCATTTTTAAACTGACAAAGTCATTGTGGCAGCTTGAAATTGTACAGGCAGTTTTGTATTCTTATTTACATTACTTAACCCTACCTACGAAAAAGTGTTAATTTGATCATTCCTGTAAAACGTAATAGAAAGAAAGATAACAATAAGAATCAAGCAAATTGCTATTTTATATCATTACTTTTAGAATTAGTTTTTATATTATAAGTTAATCAGAAGTGAAAACTTCAATGAAACTGTGATTTTGCCCAAAGAAAAAACCTGTGCAAAAAAAAAAATCAAATTCAGGGGAGATAATTAACCTTGGTACAATATGAAAATAAGGAGATGTGGTTTGATTGCCAATGAGACAACTATCCACCTGTTACCATTTGTGAAATATTAGAAAAAAGTACAAAAATCTCCAAAATAAAAATTTATTTTTTGTGCATTGAAATTTCGAAATTTAATCGAATAACTTTTGCTTTATTCCAATTGATGTTTTTGGTCTATATAATCTCTAAAGTCTATGCAAAAATAAGAAAAAAATATGTTTGGTAAAATTGCAAAGGTAAGTACAGCGATTGTTATTATTTAAGTCAAATTTTTTGATATTTTTATGTACATTTATTTTTTCTTTCAGGAAAATTGATGACAAAATGTGTCTTATATCAATTTACATTAATTTTTATGGTAGGGTTCAGTTTATATATCTGTATACAAATTTATATTTGTATCTCTGATATGTACACATGACAAAAGTAAAAAAAAACATATCCTCACAACAATCATAAGTGTGAAGAACATATACATACCTAGGATCATAGAAATTGCTTTAAATGTCTGATAAATGAGAATGTAACAATGTTGGTGCGTAAAAAAACTTGTTAATTATTTTTCAGCGTTTGATATTATGACAGCAACTCAAATCATCTAATTTGTAAGAACTATGTTGTAAAATTTGAAAAATTAACATTTTTTTTTCAGGGGTTGAAGATGTAGTAAACAGTGTAATTTTCCTTCTAAGTGATAAGAGTGCTATGACGACTGGGGAGTGTGTCAGAATAGATGGAGGCTTGGGCGTACACTGAAATTAGGACTTGCATAAATGCTAACATTATTAAAGATCATTATATTCCAGATAAAAATAGTAATTAAGACAATGATTCCGTGGTGAAGGAATGTAGTAATTATGACAATGATTCAGTGGTGAAGGAGTATCAGTTACCATTATAAATGATTAAGAAGGATTAGTCCATCAACAAGGACAAATATGGACTGTAAAATGCTTTTCAGATTGTGATTTTGTATATAAGTTTAATTCTCTTTGATTTTATAGTTATCTGTAATTTACATGAAAACTTCTCTTCATTCTTACCAGTAGTTATTGGGGAGAAAGTTGATATAGTAATCAGGTCTCATCAAGTAAATATTTTGAAATAATTTGATCATGTATTTGACAAAAGGGAATTAACATTGTTGTGCAGGATCATGACCAGAAAAAATAATAAAGTATGACATAACCTTGATCTTCCACTTTCTTTTATACTCTTTAGAAAACTTAACATCAACAGAGCTATCCTATTGACTTTTGGGTTGAAGTTAGTTTTTCCCTAATAGATATGTAAGTAAAACTTGGGAAAGTTGTCAATGAAGGTTATTCCAAAAACACATGTTATCATCAACACAGTAATTGTTTTTGGAAAATGTTTACTGAAGAGCCTTAATATAGAAACCCTTTTGGGACCCTTTGAAACAAATTTGAGCATGGGTTCCCCCCCTCCTCAGTCCCTGATCCTGACTAACCTGCCAGGTATGTGAGGCAAATGACCAATATATAGATATATTCCTGAAAAATGGAAAGCAAATGATTTAGAGATTGTATCCAGAAACCAAGATTTACTTTTTGTAACAGTGATGTTAACCTTTGACATCTTGACCTCAATATTTACAGGCTTTGTCCCTTTCCTATTATCTACCATTTGTGAAAGTATTATTAAAATCCAACAAATGCTTTTCAAGTAATCACTAACAAATGACAACTTTTACCTATATTTCTAAGTTTTAGAAAGAAAAAAAATTAATACCAGCAACCTTGAACTTTGACTATTGACTGCTAATGCAGTAGTCTTCATCCATTTGTCTATATCTTCTAGTGATGTAAGTTTCATTTTAATTACTAGTAATTTACAAGCAAGTGGTTGAAAGACAGGGTGATGACTATATTTTTCATAATTTTTTTTCTGGGTGCATAATAATGTGAACATATAAAAAGAGATCAAGACAGTCATTAGTATCACAGAGTACCTTGGATGGGTTTCATTTGCTGTTACCACTACTCCGTTTTGTCCTAGATCATATAGATGAATAGATATATGACTACATCACAGATAATGACATGTCATCAGGTTTTTACTTAATTTGAGCAACATGATGGAGTCACTGTTGGTGCCCTGAGATCACCTCCTGCTTTCTGTTGGAATGTTTCTTAGTTTTTAGTTTCTTTTGTTCTGTTAGTAGACTTTATTTGACCATGTTTTAGTCTTTTTTCAAATTATGATTGCCTTCTAAAGATCTCTAATTTTCTTGATAAGGTCAGTATTGATTATTTCACTTCAATAGTTATGTAGTTTAGATTATTGGGTTTTCTACACAAATAGCAAGCCACAATGTGAACCTTGTGAGCGCAGCATGCTATTACTGATTTCTCCCCCCCCCCCCCCCCCCCCCCCCCCCCCCGTTCTCTCTCTTAGACATTTTTTAGAATGATAAAATCGCCTCAGACATTGTGATGTCACTGATAACTTCTCCTCACACATTCTGACCTTGCTGATTAGTTTTGCTCAGATCTCAAAGCCATGATATGAGAATTATGGAGAACCAAGTAGGGTGATATGGGTGAAGGGAAGGACCATAAAGGCTAATTATAAGACCATACCATTTCAAGTTTTGAAATGTTGTCAAATATACTCGTGTAGATAGTTTTCTCATTGAATCATAACACATTTCCTTTTTTTTATTTTGTAAAACATAAACCGGTAGAATATAAAGATCCATTTTTTTTTAATAATCACTAATCATAAAAGTACGAACACTGTTCTCAAGTTGATTCTCTGCAAATTTGATGTTGAAATCCATACCATATTTTTCTCATCCTATATAGTTGCAAGCGATATTAATTTTTATTGGACATTTTACGGTATAGTTTGATTTCCATAAAACAATGTATTGCTCAGGTTTTTTGGAAATCATGGGGATGACCTAAGTTTACAGTACTGCACTTTTATTTTCATGTTTATGGTGTAAGTATTTGAGTGTTTTCTTGGTTTGTTTTTAAAAAGATGTTCATAACAAGGTAATATACTAACAATTGTCACTTCATGGACAGAAACATCACTTTTGCTTGAGGATAAATGAATATTTAGGTTTATGTTTATGATTAAGATGCCTACCATTTCATATTTTGGGAGTGGCCTTGAAAACTGCTATAAATAAAGAAAATCTGACTGGGGGGGGGGGGGGGGGGGGGGGGAGTGGAGGCAGAAATGTTCAGAATGACGAGATCTACCTATTGTCTATTTAAATCAAAGCTGTCTGATGACTTCTTATAGGAGTTATTGGTGTTAGAAGAGAGACCAAAGATACCAAAAGGACATTCAAACTCATAAGTCGAAAATAAACTGACAACACCTCAGCAAAAAAAGAAAAAGACCAAGACTGAGCAACATGAACCCCACCAAAAACATGGGATTGTTCCAGAAGGGTAGGCAGATCCTGATCCGCATCTGGCACTTGTCGTGTTGCTCATGTAAGTACAAACCCAGTGACAAGTCTAACTCTGTAGGTCACATTCAGCGAAATTCGGACATGATTGTGGTTTCATATTTGTCGTCATCTATGATATTCCACAAGGGTCAACCAACTCATTATGAAGGGATGATTTCAACTTCACCACTTCAAACTCTTGGTTTAATACTTTCCTTGTAAGCAGCAACTCTCCATCAAGGAAATCATGATAGGAAATGCAAGCCCTGGAATATCGTATCAACTGGGAGATATATACTAGGCACTGCTGGAATGTTGCTACCATTGGTCAAATTTTACCAATTTTTCTTTTTCGATTTTGCCTATTAACTTGAAAATTATAATTGATAGAGAGAAACTTTAAATTGCAAAAATGATCAGTAAGACAAGATGTGAAAATAAGTAAACATATAGGAAATTGTCAGACAACTTTATCTCTTATGTTAAGTGTATCATGTATCTTGCTTCAAATCTTTTAATACAGTTCTGTATTTTGGTAAAACATCTGATGACAGACTTAAGACACCAAGAATATAAAAACAGTTCTGTATTTTGGTAAAACATCTGATGAAAGACTATGAATACAGTTCTGTAGCTTGGTCAAACATCTGATGAAGGACTATGAATACAGTTCTGTATTTTGGTCAAACATCTGATGAAGGACTACGAATACAGTTCTGTATTTTGGTCAAACATCTGATGAAGGACTATGAATACAGTTCTGTATTTTGGTCAAACATCTGACGAAGGACTATGAATACAGTTCTGTATTTTGGTCAAACATCTGACGAAGGACTATGAATACAGTTCTGTATTTTGGTCAAACATCTGACGAAGGACTATGAATACAGTTCTGTATTTTGGTCAAACATCTGATGAAGGACTATGAATACAGTTCTGTATTTTGGTCCAATATCTGACGAAGGACTATGAAAACAGTTCTGTATTTTGGTCAAACATCTGACGAAGGACTATGAATACAGTTCTGTATTTTGGTCAAACATCTGACGAAGGACTATGAATACAGTTCTGTATTTTGGTCAAACATCTGATGAAGGACTATGAATACAGTTCTGTATTTTGGTCAAACATCTGATGAAGGACTATGAATACAGTTCTGTATTTTGGTCCAATATCTGACGAAGGACTATGAATACAGTTCTGTATTTTGGTCAAACATCTGACGAAGGACTATGAATACAGTTCTGTATTTTGGTCAAACATCTGACGAAGGACTATGAATACAGTTCTGTATTTTGGTCAAACATCTGATGAAGGACTATGAATACAGTTCTGTATTTTGGTCAAACATCTGATGAAGGACTATGAATACAGTTCTGTATTTTGGTCAAACATCTGATAAAGGACTATGAATACAGTTCTGTATTTTGATAAATATCTGATGAAGGACTATGAATACAATTTCGGTAATTTGGTAAAACATCTGATGATTGCATAGGCGGATCCAGGGGGGGGGGGGGGGGGGGGGGGGGGCCCTTTTATGGGAAAAATTTGGTTGATAATATAGGGAATCACTGAAGCATGACTGTAGCGGGCCCCCTCTTATGGTAGTCGGTGGGCCCCCCTTATAAATATGAACTGAAATGACTATGAATACAGTTGGATATTAAGGTAAAATACCTAATGATGGACTAAAGACACAAAGTTCATAACAAGTTTGATCTGAAATACAAAACCAAAGAGCACTTAAAATTTTGCTGAGTTAACCTTAATTGGGACAAACCATTTAAAGAAGGGATATTAGTTTCTGACTCCAGTGGACATACTCTGGAACCAAACATTTTTTAAATGCAAACGAAATGAATCCTGAAACCATACTATTTGCACATCAAAATGTGAACTGCGTCTACTTTAAAAAAATTGTGATAAGCTGAAAATTTTGATACTTCGGATACCTTTGGACAATCAAAAGGAGAGCTGCACACCTAACGAAGCTAGCTGTTGCAATCAATTGGGTTGGTCATTGTAAACTTTTTTTAAGAATCTGCTCCTCTGAAACTACTGGGCCAAATAATACCAAACATTTTAAGATCTTTAAATGTTTTCTGTTTTGTAACAATCTGATGATTTTAGCCCTTTTCAACTGATTTTTATAGTTTGTTCTTACGTTGTACTGTTACACCACTATTCCAGGTTAGGGGGAGGGTTTGGCGCCAGCAAACTAGTTGAACCCCGCCACATTCTATATGTTCCTGTCCCAAGTAAGGAGCCTGTAGTTCAGTGGTTGTCGTTAGTTCATGTTTGTCATATTTGTTTTGTAAATTTTTTGTTATAAATTAGGCCGTTAGTTTTCTCAATTGAATTGTTTCATATTTTTCCTGTCGGAGCCTTTTATAGCCAACTATACGGTATGGTTGTTTTCTCATTGGTGAAGGCCGTACGGTTGCCTATAATTGCTTTTATTCACTTCATTTGAACTTTGGTGGTGTGTTGTCTCAATGCTTAGATTAAGTAAATCAAAGAACCCCAATACTTCAAGATTATTTAAACCTCATTGAAATTGGTCAGAAATAAGCAATTCAAACAAAGTTTCAGAATTTTTGACCTTTTGGACCTTAATGTGGACCAATTTGAAAACTGGGTCCAAAATCAAATTTCAAAATACACTGTTAGATTTGGCAGATCAAGGAATCCCAAGAATTCAATTTTTGTTGAAATCAAACAAAGTTTAATTTGGACCCTTTGGACCTTATTGTGGACCAATTTGAAAACAGTGACCAAAATTAAAAATCTAAATACACAGTTAGATTCGGCATATCAAAGAACCCAAATAATTCAATTTCTGATGAAATCAAACAAAGTTTAATTTGGGACTCTTTGGACCTCAATGTGGACCAATTTAAATCCGGGGCTCAAAATCAAATTTCAAATACACAAATAGATTCAGCATAAAAAAGAACCCCAAGAATTCAAGACTTTATTAATCACCATTGAAATTGGTCAAGAAATAACCAATTTTTGTCTCGCCTGCGACGTATGCGAGACATAGGTATTACTATCCGGCAGCTGAGTACTCAGATACTACAGGTACTATAGGTACTCTCAGATACTACAAGCTGCAGGTCAACTATATGTGGTGTATGGAATGATTGTAAGGGGTACATGTCAGACTGGCATTTTCATGGTTCATTGGTTAACGTTAAGTTTTTGTGTTTTGGTCTGTTTTTCAAGTACTATAAGTAATAGGTCAACTATATTTGGTTTATGGAATGATTGAAAGGTGTACATATCTGTCTAGTCTGTGTCATCTGACCTTGACCTCATTTTCATGGTTCATTGGTTAATGTTAAGTTTTTGTGTTTTGGTCTGTTTTTCAATTACCATAAGCAATGGGTCAGCTATATTTGGTGTATGGAATAATTGTAAGGTGTACATGTCTGTGTGACAGTTTTTATCTGACCTTGACCTCATTGTCATGCATCTTTAAAAATGTTAAGTTTATGTGATACTTGTAGCAAAACCTATATCTTTAAGACTTTCAACATCAAATCAATGGTCAGTTAAATAGGCAAGACATTTCAGAGTGTGCACTCTTGTAACAAATTATTAGAAAAGTATTGCTTTGGCCCCTTTTCCCCCCAAAATCAATCCCAACCTTCCTTTTGATGTATAGAACCTAGTTGTACAATTTCATAGAGATCCATACACTGTTACACAAGTTATTGTCCTGAAACAAGAAAAATGCTTGTTTTTGGCCCCTTATTCCTATACAGTTAGGACAACAACCCCCAAAATCAATTCCCATCTTCCTTTTTTGGTATGGAACCTTGTGGAACAATTTCATAGAGATCCATACACTTATACTCATGTCATTGTCTGGAAACCAAATGTCTTCAGACGACAACCACAATGTCATACAATTACACGGTCATATGAAAATTATTTCAACACCTCTTCTTTTACAAGGCAATATTTCTACCGTTGTCTTTCGTGCAGATTTATTTCTACTTTATTGTAATTGCTGAAAACTCTTTTGCACCAATTTGCACCATGATATGAAAATAGGAAGATGTATTTTGATAGCCAAGAAGAGCCACAATGATGTAGATGTTAGCAAGTATTGTTCACTTTATATGACCTAAAACAATGAGCAAAACCCATATGGTATATACAGTATCACAATTCACACTCCTAATCTTAAAACCATCGCTAGGCTTTCAAGGCAAAATCAAGCCTTAAATTGTTACCGTAATTGCCTCACTAGAAATATGGTTCAAGCTACACCACTGGCTGTCAGTGTAAAAGTATGTTGATTGCCAAAAACATTTATCAGGAAAATACAGAATTTTTTATTTTTTTTGAAGAAAACTGTTAAGCAATGGGTAAATAAATAAGGGATTTCTATCATTTGATTTATAAAATCTGTGCTTTAAATCAGTTAAAAACTATAACAAAGTCATTGTCTGTATTCATGCCACAGGTCTAGCTCTTAAAAAATATAATATAACATAAGTTTAATAATTTATAATACAGATAGAATGAACAAGTGATCTGATCAATATAATTATGACATGCTAGTCTTCCATTAACATTAGCTGTGTATCATCTTTGGGAAGTAACCTTATATTCAACAGCTTTTCAAAACACAATAAAATCTGAAAGACAGAGAAAACAAGTTAAGATATACTTCAGGCTAAGAGAAATCATACATCTTGTTCAGTATTTTGTTTTCTGAAGAAAGAACATAAATACTGATAACTGTTAAACACAAATAACAAATTTAAAGAACAAACTTTACCAACTTTATCCTGTCTCAGTTCCAAAGAACAGCAATTTTCAAAAATATTCTTTTACCAGCACAAAACTTTCATACCAATTTCATAGGAATATGTAGAAGTTGTAAAGTCTAAGTTGTGCTATTGCTTACCAGGTAAATCTAAAGAGTTATCTGATAATAATATGGAGAGGCACAACAATATATGGTGTGATGTAAGTATTTCTGTCAAGCTGCCTCTCATTTCTATGTAAATTGTAGACAGCTTCACATGTCATAGAGTATCAACCTTAATTTTTTGTCTGTCATTATAACTGTAGGTTGACCTTTAATTTTTTCTTGAGTTGCTGTCTTATTGATGTATACCCCACTTAAAAATGACCTTGTTAGACAATCTGTAATATCAATTATGTAATTGTATATATATATATATATGTGTACAGATGTATCCACACTCAGATATAAATGTATGTCATATGTTGCTATTTACAAGCTTTTATATATTTAAATATTTTCAAATAAAAAGGTACAAACTGCTACATTATTTACTGACTCTATTACTAATGGTTCTAGGATAGAAAATTTGTTAGATTGTAGATTGGAAATTTTCTGTTTCTAGGACAGAAAAGTTTTCTGTTTTAGGATAGGAAATTTGTCTGATTCTAGGATAGGAAGTTCATTCCTTACACCAAATATAGTTGACCTATTGCTTATAGTATCAAATAGACCAAAACACAAAAACTTGACATTGAACAATCAACCATGAAAAAATAGGTCAAGGTCAGATTAACGCTGATAGTCTGACATGTACATCTTACAATCATTCCATATACCAAATATAAGTGACCTATTGCTAATAGTATCTGAGAAAAGGATCAAACAATGGAAACTAAAAATTTACCAACAAACCATGAAAATAAGGTCAAGATCAGCAGATATAAGGCCAGACAGACATGTAAAACTTACAATTATTCCATATGCCGAATAAAGTTGACCTATTACTTAAATTTGAGAAACAGGCCAACGAATCATGTAAATGAGGTCAAGGTCAGATGAAACTGCCAGCTGGACATGTACACCTTGCAATCATTCCATACACCAAATATAGTTGACCTATTGCTTATAGTATTGTTGAAACCAACCTAATCATTGAACTTAAACTTTGATTACTGACCCATGAAATAAGGCCTAGGGCATGTGACCTTCTTTAATGGACATGTAGACCTTGCAAGGATCTAATATACCAAATATAATAATCTTTTTACTCATAATACATAAAAAAGTCACATGACAAAAAAACTTGAAAGTTATTTTGAGTAGTCACAGAACCATGAAATCGGGTCAAGGACAAGGACATGTCAGAAGGAAACTTTGTACTCAAGGCAACTATATAAAAGGTATGAAGCATCCAGGTCTTATACTTCCTGAAATATAAAGCTTTACACAACCTTCACTGCGGACAATTAGATCTATAATCAGTATCCCTCCCTTTTGTTTACTATATATCTATGATCATACCTTGTTAGCTTTGGTAGAGGATAGTGACGATTCTTCTGTAGAAAGCTGTAATAATTGATTCTGACAGGTTTTACAAATGAAATCACAATTAACTAAACCAGTATTGACTAGATATTCTATCAATAAAAGTGATTTCTGAAAAACAAATAACAATTTTGAGAAAGACGGACATGTTTTTGTTATTCATACAATAATGTTGATTTTGGTCTATGAAATAAACAACTGATTCATGTGACCATTTCCAGTGTTTTCAAGAACTAAAGCAGGTTAAAGTCCCATAATTCTATAATTCTAGAACAACAAATTCAAAATCTTCAAAATAGAAAAGGTAGTTACTACTTTGAGAAAAGAAAAGCTATAAAAACTTACTTTCGGTAGTCAACAAATTGCACGATATTTGTCTACACCACTAAAGATTTAAAAAGAAAATATGCTAAAAACTTTATGATAAAATTATTAAGTTTCATTAATAGAGATATTGTCACATATCATCAACAGCAAAAAAAAAATACAATGGAATTTTGCTCCTTATAAACAGTATCATACAGTCTCACAAGTGATAGTTTACAAAATCATGTGCAAATGTGTCAACTAATCAGGGTAAATGAATCCTTACAAAATTAGTCATTGTTGTCTAGTGTAAATCTGTTGAGTTTTTGAAACATTTTATTAAGTTTCATTTTTAGATATGATTTGTTTCTAAGTGATCACCATTTAAATCATCAAGTAATGTATAGAAGTATTTAATTTATTTTTTTAGATGAGACAAAATAATAAATCTATTAAACTGTTATACACAAAATATACATAACAGTTATAATAGTTTGTTCAACAATATGTCAAAAAGTAGTGAACTAGACCATGCAAAACCCATCATCTCTCCTAGAATACTTGGTCAATGAAAGTAACTTATCTTTGTTATTTTTCTTACCATAACAACACACTGAGTAGAATATTTTCTCATTTTGCAACAGATAGGAAAAGAATCCTGGTGTTGTCGTTTTACATATCACAACAACACACTAAGTTGAGGATGATCTACTCCTTTTATTGCCCATGGATAACCCATGAATAAAAGATTGGTAAGGGGACTTTCTTATTTTACTTACCAGAACAACACACTGAGTAGTAGATTTGAGTTGTGTATTTAACAATTCTATAACTTTTTCACAGTTAAGGTTCTGACAAGATGATATAAAGTTTCTAATTTCTCCTACTGTCAGTAATGTATCATCACTACTAGCTAATGTTTGTTCTACTAAGTTTTCTTCTTCACACCAACTGTCTGCATGATCAGTTCTGTAATAAAATAGAAGTGACAGTAAAAGAACATTGTAAAGTGAAAATGCATTACAAAACAGCTTTACTTTAAAGAGGTTTATTTTCACATTTCTTGGACCCAAGATATTTTCAAGGTTATATTTTTGTGTTTCCTATTCTTCTTAATTTCAATTTTCTCTAAAGATAAAATATACCAGTCTTGAGACATGATATTTTTGCAATTTTATCTTCATTGCAAAATTAACAAACCCCACAAGAAATTTCTGAATTTTCAGTATGCAACAGTTAATTTTAATTGATGGTTTTTTACCTAAAAAAAATTCTTGTTGTTACCTAAAATCAGTGTAAGAACGAAGATGTTAGTGATAAATAAAATGGCTGTTGTCCATACAAAACTTTAAATTTTGAAACAAACTTTTCTGTGCAGTGATAAATATTCTCTTAGTAAAAAAGATAATTCAAGAACCTTTGTGAGCATGCTCACACACCCAACGCACCCATATTGTCACAGGGGAAACAAAATCTCACCAAAATCCTTAGTTCAAAGACTCATAACTCCTTCAAAAGTCAACTGATAAATATTTCTTGTGGATATACACATCTTCATATTATGTCCTTATTACCTACAAAGTTTCATAAAATTGTGTTGTATGGTTTTAGAGGAGTTGTGATGACAAACTTGCAGTAGTATATTTAGGCCAAAATTCTAATTTCAAAAGGGCATTACTCCTAGACAAAATTGAATCATAATTTCTCATTTTCCTGTCGATATGCACATCTACATACTATCAGTATGTCCTCAATTTGTACAAAGTTTCATGAAGTATTTTTGTTTGGTTTCAGAGGAGTTGCGATGACAAAAAAAGGACTGACGAACTGACGAACAGACTGTTAGACAGATGGACAGAGGGACCAAAAACATTACACCCTACAGTATAAAAGTTCCGTAGGGTAAAGTATGCATGCTATGTAGTTTATTGTAGCTAATCAGCACTACATAACTTACGAAGATCTTAAAATACAACAAAATATATATCATTTATGCCAAGTTTGGTTAAAATTGTAAGGATACCCATCAAAAACTGTATCACCATCTTGACTAGAAACAGTGGTTGTCTGATTACCAGTTTCTTCATCCTCTTCATCCCAGCCACCACCGACCTTTCCTTGGATATGCTGAATTGGTTTGACTAAATTTTATGATAAGTCATCATTAATTAACAAAAAATGCTGACAGTTTTCTTCAAAGTGGTGGAATTGTGTGGATTAATTTTGATTTCATGAATGCTTATTACTGAGAAAACTTACTGTTTTAGTACTTATAATTTAAAAGTATTTCTTACTAGCAAAACAACAACTAATAAAATCCCTAAAAAAATCAAGAAATCTTGTTAGCACCAGCAAACTCTTTTTCAACACATTTAAAATTTCTTCAAGTAGGACATCACAGGTTTTTGCGATGTAATATCATTAACATTTTACCATACATTTCAGAGAGTTTAATTTAGTGAGAGAAAAAAAACAAATCAGGACATATTTATGATCGGCAAATGTACATCTTCCATATAAGTGGCCATTTTCTAAAAAAATCAATAAATTTCAGTTTATAAATCTAGTGTGTTTCATTGTAAATATTCCTTAAATTCTACTTTTTAAATCAAGTGTGTTTCAATGCAAATTTTTCACTGTTAAAAAAGTCTAAATAAAATCAATTTGATGCCTATATAATGTATCTCACATCATCAAACAAGCAGACAAACCATAAAATTAGAATTTCATTATTTACTTACAGTTGTACAGACATGTTATGAAACAATAAGCAGTGAAAGCTTGGAATTTCACCACAGATCATCCTAAGAGCTAGGAAGAAGACAATCTGACTTGAGATTACGGACCTTTATGGCCTTTGTCTTCTATCCTTAAAATGGTACATACACCTTAGCATTATAGTAAGCTTCTGAGGTTTGTAATATTACAAAGACATTTGTTAGTAGATCAAATGACCTTGATTCTCACCTTCATGACCTTTGATTTCTTTCTCTTCTTGCTGTGGTGCTGACATTTCATCATATACCACAGGAAGTGGTGGTGGTTTGTAATCACCATATGACTCAATAGAAGACAAAATAGCTGCTTGTTGCTCTTTGGTTCTGTCTTGAAATCCACTGGCAAATTTACTTAATTTGTCCATAAAACTACCTGCAGGTATCATTGTAACTATGTATATTAAGTGTAAATGAGAAGTCTTCCTTCAAGTTTAGGATGGTGAACAGGTAGGTTACAACTTTTGAGTAGAATTCTTTTGTTGGCGGAGGGTCTTTGAATGCAATATTTTCTAAGCCAAGTCATTGACATATTTATAATAGTTTATTCAATTTTGAAATTGTTTGAACTGCTGCACTATTCAAATATAAGTGCCTTCAAATTACTTCAGGATTCAGCTTAAACATTGATTAATTTTTAAAATAGGTTGATATACCCCATCATTATTGTACAAAAAAATGTACCTTAAATTTATCTCAATTCATATTTTTTTTTCTTTTTTTAAAGATACAATCAAATAATTTTTTTTACACATAGGATACTAACTTTTTGTCTTGGTTGGGGAGTTTCCAAATCCTTGCATGCTTCCTTTAGGACTTACATTAGCATTGCCCAGACCTGAAAATTTTTGTCACAGCATATTAGTAAATACACATACATCATGACAAAAAACTGCAAAATTTTGTTAAAACTACCAATTCGGTGGCAGCAACCCAACAATGGGTTGTCCGATTCGTCTGAAAATTTCAGAGCTGATAGATCTTGACCAATTGAACAATTTTACCCCACGTCAGATGTTCTATGTTCTATTTTTAGCCATGGCCGCCATGTTTGTCGATGGATCAAAACTTCGGATAAAATTTATAAACTAGATACCCTAAGGAACATTTAGTTAAAGTTTGAAGGTATTTGGCCCAGTAGTTTCAGAGGAGAAGATTTTTGAAATAGTTTACGAGGACAGATGACAACGACAGACAACAGACAACGACGGACGCCAAGTGATGGCATAAGCTCACATACGAAGGGCCCCGGTGAGCTAACAAAATATGGCCCAGCCTGTTATAAAAGTTTTGAAGTTTGACTGTAAAGTAATGCAAATATTAAATCCAATTTTCTATGAGTAAAGGAGTAAAACCAGTAACACTAATAAACGGCCCTGTAAAGGTGCATTATTAAAACTTTAATTGTTCGAGTAAATTTACCTTGTATGTATTGCTAAATGTATAATTTTTTGAAAGTATAATAAGAAAAAATGTATATCTTCCTCATATATTATAAATATATTAGCCTAAAATATGTATAGATTTCATTTTTAATAGTCCATTTTTCTAGAAATTCATCATAATTTCATAATTTCATATGTGGCGCCACTCCTCGTACATTGAAATTTTGGTTGAAAAGTAAAGAATATGGTATATTTAAAATATTACAGCAAGAATATTTGTGGGCGAGGGTTGGCGCCACTGTTAATTTTTCAGAAAACTGACATAAATTTCACCAAATTATGCCAAAAACTAGACATTCACAAATTCTCCTACATTTATAATGTCAGAAATACATCACTAATGACATAATTGGTCAAACATCTTTGTTTACCAAAACAATTGGACATTTTTACATACTTTGTTTTCGCATAATTTTCACAACTTCATCGCATTTAAAAATAAAATGCTCCGCAAGGCGCAGCTTGATACGACCGCAGAGGTCGAACCCTGAACAGTTGGGGCAAGTATGGACACAACATTCAAGCTTGATACAGCTCTGAATTTGGATTGTGATTAAATATTTGACACAGCATAGGTTTCTGACACAGAATGAATGTGGTCTAAGAACTTAAAAATTTTAAATTGGACATTCACCTATTATGGTCCAATATCCAAAATCTAAATACATGGTTAGATTCAGCATATCAAAGAACCCCAAGAATTCAATTTTTGATGAAATCAAACAAAGTTTAATTTTGGACCCTTTTGACCTCAATGTGAACAAAGTTGATAACGGGGCCCAAAAATCAAAAATCTAAATACATGGTTAGATTCAGCATATCAAAGAACCCCATATATTCAATTTTTGTTGAAATCAAACAAATTTTTTTTTTGGACCCCGATTTGGACCAACTTGAAAACTGGGCCCATAATCAAAAATCTAAATACATGTTTACATTCAGCATATCAAAGAACCCTAAGAATTCAATTTTTGTTAAAATCAAACTAAGTTTAATTTTGGACCCTTTGGACCTTAATGTAGACCAATTTGAAAACGGAACCAAAAATTAAGAATCTAAATACACGGTTAGATTCAGCATATCAAAGAACCCCAATAATTCAATTTTTGATGAAATCAAACAAAGTTTAATTTTGGACCCTTTGGACCTCAATGTGGACCAAATTAAAAACGGGGCCAAAAAACCCCATTGAAATTGGTCAAGAAATAAGCAATTTATACGAAGTATCTTTTTTTGCACAATACTGTGCAATTGAATATTTCTTGCTATTGCGCAATACTGTACAATTGACAATTTCTTGCTATTGCGCAATATTGTGCTATTGGATTTTCTTACTATTGCGCAATACTGTGCAATTGAAGATTTCTTGCTATTGCGCAATACTGTGCAATTGAAGATTTCTTGCTATTGTGCAATACTGTGCAGTTGAAAATTTCTTGCTATTGCACAATACTTATTATATAATAATTTACACATCCTGTTTGGTGTGTATCTCCTACCATATCATTATTATTTGCTTTTAAATATAAATCAGAAATAACCAACTTAAAATGGAAAATTTTAAAAGAAAAAAAAAAAAAAAAAAAGAAAAACTAGAGGCTCTCAAGAGCCTGTGTCGCTCACCTGATTCTACTTTGGTTTTGGAAATCATGTAAAAATAGATTAAAATCATAACAGATACCCTAATAATGAGTGAGGCCAAATTTGGTTCAATATTGGTCCTGTAATTTAATAAAAAAATCCTGGTGGCCATCTTGAACAGTAAATCGGCAACAAAGTAGCAACACTTAATCAGCACCTCATAAGAAACATTTATGCCATGTTTTGGTTTCATTCCATTCAGTGCACCTCTAGAAGAAGCATTTGTACGTATTTCCCATAGGGTCTTATGTTTAAGGAAGTCCCCCCATTGGCGGCCATCATGGATGAAGGATCAGCTTCAAAGTAACAAAACTTAGTCAGCACCTCATAAGGAACATTCATGCCATGTTTGGTTTCAATCCATTCAGTATGTGGTTCTCTAAAAGAAGACATTTGTATGTATTGTCCATAGGGTCCTTTGTTAAACATTGTCCCCATCTGGCGGCCATCTTAGATTATGGATCGGCTTCATAGTAACAACACTTGGTCAGCACCTCATAAGGAACATTCATGCCATGTTTGGTTTCATTCCATTCAGTGGTTCTCTAAAAGAAGACATTTGTATGTATTTCTCATAGGGTCCTATGTTACACTAAGTCCCCCGCTGGCTGCCATCTTGGACGATGGATCAGCTTCAAAGTAACAACACTTGGTCAGCACCTCATAAGGAACATTCTTGCCATGTTTGGTTTCATTCCATTCAGTGGTTCTCTAAAAGAAGACGTTTGTATGTATTTCCCATAGGGTCCCATGTTAAACTAAGTCCCCTGTTGGCGGCCATCTTGGATTATGGATCAGCTTCAATGTAACAACACTCGGTCAGCACCTCATAAGGAACATTCATGCCATGTTTGGTTTCATTCCATTCAGTGGTTCTCTAAAAGAAGACATTTGTATGTATTTCTCATAGGGTCCCATGTTAAACTAAGTCCCCTGCAGGCGGCCATCTTGGATTATGGATCGGCTTCAAAGTAACAACACTCGGTCAGCACCTCATAAGACACATTCATGCCATGTTTGGTTTCATTCCATTCAGTGGTTCTCTAAAAGAAGACATTTGTATGTATTTCCCATAGGGTCCAATGTTAAACTAAGTCCCCTGCTGGCGGCCATCTTGGATTATGGATCAGCTTCATAGTGACAACACTTGGTCAGCACCTCATAAGAAACATTCATGCCATGTTTGGTTTCATTCCATGCAGTGGTTCTCTAAAAGAAGACATTTGTATGTATTTCCCATAGGTCCCATGTTAAACTAAGTCCCCCGCTGGCGGCCATCTTGGATTATGGATCAGCTTCAAAGTAACAACACTCGGTCAGCACCTCATAAGGAACATTCATGCCATGTTTGGTTTCATTCCATTCAGTGGTTCTCTAAAAGAAGACATTTGTATGTATTTCCCATAGGGTCCAATGTTAAACTAAGTCCCCCGCTGGCAGCCATCTTGGATTATGGATCGGCTTCAAAGTAACAACACTCGGTCAGCACCTCATAAGAAACATTCATGTCATGTTTGGTTTCATTCCATTCAGTGGTTCTCTAAAAGAAGACATTTGTATGTATTTCCCATAGGGTCAAATGTTAAACTAAGTCCCCTGCTGGTGGCCATCTTGGATTATGGATCAGCTTCATAGTAACAACACTTGGTCAGCACCTCATAAGGAACATTCATGCCATGTTTGGTTTCATTCCATTCAGTGGTTCTCTAAAAGAAGACATTTGTATGTATTTCCCATAGGGTCGTATGTTAAACTAAGTCCCCCGCTGGCGGCCATCTTGGATTATGGATCGGCTTCAAAGTAACAACACTCGGTCAGCACCTCATAAGAAACATTCATGCCATGTTTGGTTTCATTCCATTCAGTGGTTCTCTAAAAGAAGACATTTGTATGTATTTCCCATAGGGTCCAATGTTAAACTAAGTCCCCTGCTGGTGGCCATCTTGGATTATGGATCAGCTTCATAGTAACAACACTTGGTCAGCACCTCATAAGGAACATTCATGCCATGTTTGGTTTCATTCCATTCAGTGGTTCTCTAAAAGAAGACATTTGTATGTATTTCCCATAGGGTCCCATGTTAAACTAAGTCCCCCGCTGGCGGCCATCTTGGATTATGGATCAGCTTCAAAGTAACAACACTCGGTCAGCACCTCATAAGGAACATTCATGCCATGTTTGGTTTCATTCCATTCAGTGGTTCTCTAAAAGAAGACATTTGTATGTATTTCCCATAGGGTCCTATGTTAAACTAAGTCTTCCGCTGGCGGCCATCTTGGATTATGGATCGGCTTCAAAGTAACAACACTCGGTCAGCACCTCATAAGAAACATTCATGCCATGTTTGGTTTCATTCTATTCAGTGGTTCTCTAAAAGAAGACATTTGTATGTATTTCCCATAGGGTCCTATGTTAAACTAAGTCCCCCGCTGGCGGCCATCTTGGATGATGGATCCGCTACAAAGTAACAACACTTGGTCAGCACCTCATAAGGAACATTCATGCCATGTTTGGTTTCATTCCATTCAGTGGTTCTCTAGAAGAAGTTCAAAATGTAAAAAGTTTACGCCGACGACGGACGACGCCGGACGACGGACGACAAGTGATGAGAAAAGCTCACTTGGCCCTTCGGGCCAGGTGAGCTAAAAAGGAAAAAAATAAAATCCCCCTCCCCAAATTTTTTGGACCCCCTTATGATTCATCACCCCCAAACTCAATCCCAGCCTTCCCTTTGTGGTATGGTACCTTGCAGTACAATTTCAGAGAGATCCATACGCTTAAACACAAGTTATTGTCTGGAAACTAGAAAAATGTGTTTTTTGGCCCCTTTTTGGCCCCAAATTCCTAAACTTTTAGGGCAATTACCCCCAAACTCAAACCCAGCTTTCCCTTTGTGATATGGAACCTTGTAGTACAATTCCAGAAAGATCCATACACTTACACACAACTTATTGTCATGAAACTAGAAAAATGCTTGTTTTTTGCCCCTTTTTTGGCCCCTAATTCCTAATATTTTGAGGCAATTACCCCCAAAATCAATCCCAGCATTCCTTTTGTGATATGGAACCTTGTGGTACAATGTCAGAGAGATCCATACACTAACACACAAGTTATGTCTGGAAGTTACAAAAATGCTTATTTTTGGCCCCTTTTTGGCCCCTAATTCCTTAACTGTTGGTACCAAAACCCCCAAAATCAATCCCAACCTTCCTTTTGTGGTATTGAACCTTATGGTAAAATCTCATAGAGATCCATTCACTTAAACTAAAGTTAGAGTGCGAAAACCAATGTGTCTTCGGACGACACCAGACGACGACGACGACAACAACGACGACGACGACGCCAACGTCATACCAATATACGACCGCAAAAATTTTTGCGGTCGTATAAAAATCAGTTTTTTAGGGCCAAAACTATGAGTTAGTGAACCAACTCCTTTCACAATTGCAATACCAGGAATATCACCCTTTGATTACTGTAGAGTGTGTTTTTTAATCAGAATAATGAATCTATTTTAACAATTTTAAAACATGAATGAAGTAATTATGGTTGTGTTTATTTGTAACAAATAATCTTTCAGAAACCTTTGTCTACCTGTAGTGATGATGATGAAATTTAAGGTATTATCAATTTGATGTAAGGTCAAATGTTCTTCATGAGAGTTAAAAGAACACTTTATAAATCTCATGTTCTGAAGCACTTTTCTGGATTCACCTTCACAAGGAATGATAAAACTTCAAAATTTGTAAGTCATAGATGTACTATAATCTCCAAGCCAGTCCAAGGGGCACCTGCACATAAAGTTATATGTCACTCTTTGAGAACTGGCTGTGGATATTTTTATTCAGATGTTGGGTTGCTATCTCATTCATGTATAACCTACATCTTTTTTATCCATATGGACACTCAGCATATCCAATTAGTCTCTTTTGGGGATAAATTAGTCACATTTAACTTTATTTAGAAGTAAAATTAGTATTACATTTTTTAAAACAACAAATTTTAATAATTGGAGAATGTGTCCATGGGGCACAGATGATGCCCCCACTTGCATATAACGTTATGAAGGGGCATAAACCAAGAGGTTAAAGTGACGCCACCCAAATTCAAACTTGATCTGTGTTATGTGGTAATAATCATTGTGTATAAGTGTCATAACATTTGGTTGAGGCAAACTAAAGTTAGAGAAAGGAAACCAATTTTGGGACAATCATATGGACGTACAGAGGGACAAGGTTACACTTAATGCCCCTTCTGATGCGGCGGGGCATATAAATATGAAATATTGAAAGAACATTTTTCAGTATAAATGAGCTTGTATTTCTTTCGGTTTGTACACTGAAAATATAAAGACCTAAATAGAGAGAATTATTATAATAAGTTTAAATTTGATACCTGTGATTCTAGACTTGTCTTGTTCTGACCATTCTTGTTGCTTTCTTGGGCTCTGTTTTACTTCTGTGTCAAATAGCAACTGTGATAACTCCTAAAGATAGAAAGCATGTCTGAAGTGATCAAGCTTTTGGCAGTTGTCTATAAAATTTATTAAAACATTATGATGTACAAATCTACTGCTATGCATTCAATAATTATGTTTGTAAGTTTTTCTTCATTTTCATGAGAGCAAGTTCAGTGGGCACATGCCCTAAAGATCTTTCTGTATTTCTGTTAATTGTAACAAAAGTTATTGAAATCTTTAATTCCATCTGAATTTCTTGCAAACACTATATTAACTTAACAAAATTTGCCCCCAATGCATATTATGATGTTGAAATATTAACTTTATGAATACTCATTTTTTTATAATTTCTTCGGGGTGAACATATTATAAACCAAAATCTTCAATAGAATCTCTTCTGTGTTCAACATCCCTTGACAAACCCTTTTAGGTGAAAATATTTCGTTGCCCATTTCAGTCATTAAGCTTTTATTGTTTATTGTTATTTAAGGTTTTTTGTTTTTACCTTTTAAATTTGCTAGTTGCACTTTTTCTCATTTTTAGAAAATTTAATTCCTATAACAATTCCTAGTATGAACATTAATTTGGATGTAACTTACAGATAAAATTACATGCTTAGTCGATCTAAAAGTTGTTACAGTCAGAAACAATATTTGGGACATATTACATTTCTGTGCCAATTATCCAACCAATGTTATACTTCCTTCTGGAGAGGTATCTATTTGATACATGTTACAGTACCTGATCTATCTGTCTAACACATGTTACAGTACAAGTGCTATCTGTCTAACACATGTTACAGTACCTGAGCTATCTGTAACACATGTTACAGTATCTGTGCTATCTGTCTAACACATGTTACAGTACCTGAGCTATCTGTCTAACACATGTTACAGTACCTGAGCTATCCGTCTAACACATGTTACAATACCTGAGCTATCTGTCTAACACATGTTATAGTACCTGTTCTATCTGTCTAACACATGTTACAGTACCTGAGCTATCTGTCTAACACATGTTACAATACCTGAGCTATCTGTCTAACACATGTTACAATACCTGAGCTATCTGTCTAACACATGTTATAGTACCTGAGCTATCTGTCTAACACATGTTACAGTACCTGTGCTATCTGTCTAACACATGTTACAGTACCTGTGCTATCTGTCTAATACATGTTACAGTACCTGTGCTATCTGTCTAACACATGTTACAGTACCGGTGCTATATGTCTAACACATGTTGCAGTACCTGTACTATCTGTCTAACACATGTTACAAAACCTGTGCTACACGTCTTATCCATGTTACAGTACCTGTGCTAACCTGTCTAACACATGTTACAAAACCTGTGCTATCTGTCTAATACATGGTACAGCATATGTCCTATATCTCTGATACATGTTACAGTACCTGTGCTATCTGTCTAACACATGTTACAGTACCTGTGCTATCTGTCTAACACATGTTACAGTACCTGTGCTATATGTCTAACACATGTTACACTACCTTTGCTATCTATCTAACACATGTTACAAAACCTGTGCTACATGTCTTATACATGTTATAGTACCTGTGCTATCTGTATACATGTTACAGTACCCGTGTTATCTGTCTAACACATGTTACAGTACCTTTACTATCTATCTAACACATGTTACAGTACCTGTACTATCTATCTAACACATGTTGCAGTACCTGTGCTATCTGTCTAACACATGTCACAAAACCTTGCTACATGTCTGATACATGTTACTGTACCTGTGCTATCTGTCTAACACATGTTACAGTACCTGTGCTATCTGTCTAACAGCTTTATTTGGTACATTGCCATGCAGTGGATCTTCTGGACCACTATATTCTGAAAATTCAAAATCATACAAGTCTTGATAGCATCTGTGCTATCTGTGGTTATTCTTAATAAACCAATGGTATGTAATCAAGTATGACTGCCAATATAATAGCAGGGTTTTCCATTCATTTTGGCCTAACAAGAACAATAATAATAATTGTTGCGCGCAAAATAATTCAATAAGTAAAATATGCACCCATATTTTTTTTGCTGATAACGATTGAACGGTCAATTTGGCCGGCGGCCGGTTCTTAGGGTAAACACTGATAGTGTAAAACAACATAATTGCTATTATCAGGTTGAGTATTTCGGGCTTATTTAAAGTAATTACAAGCATTATTTGGTACATTAATGATTATCATTCTTTATTTGTACTTGTGTTGTTGTTTTTTGGTTATCTATTATACTGATATTATAGAGGTAAGTTATTTTTCTGTATTGATGTTTATAATAAATTCTTGTTTTTACTCTTCTTCAGATGACAGCTGGACAAACAGTCACTATGATACATAGGGCATCTACATCCCTAAATCTTTAAAATCTCAATATAATCTTTTTTTTTACTTACTTGTAGCTTCTCTGATGCCATGAGAAGTCTTCATCAACCCAAGTCTGAATTCTGCTGGTCCATTCTCTACTATGTACTTTAGCAATTTCAGCACCTAAACATAAATAAACTATGTATCAAAGGATGTAGCCTCTAAAATGAAGTATATATTAACCAAAAATATATTTTATGTACATGATACATTATTATATGGTTATTAACAATAAAATATAAATGGATAAGAGTAAATTTTTGTTATACTGCAAATTGCAGAACTAATATCGAAATTTTTATTAATGTGAAAATACGAATGAGTGAGTATCACAATAGTAAGAACTCACAATCTGATACATATATCTATATGCTGCTTTACCTGAAATCGCAATAATTAATCTCATATTTTTTTCCATTCTTCAAAAATACCACAACAAATGCACTCAATAATTTCTGAAAATAAAGCATTAATTTAACATAGACTAAGACGAAAGGTTCTAAATTTTATTTTATATTGTATTGAATACTAGATTACTTCCCTTGATCTTACCTTAAATTTAACATGACAAGATTGTTTGTTAAGTCTGTCTACAAGAAACTCTAAAGTGCTCTCTCGGTAACCATCAGACTCAAATGTAATCTCTGTTTGTGATGTTAAAGAAAACAATGATAACAATGCTTGCAAAATTGATACATAAACTCATAATGACATACAGGAACAGTTACTTTTGTTTTTGCATTATTAGAAAAAAAATATTGGAATATTTTCTGTTATGATATGTCATGTATTATATGTAAACAGATGAAAGTAGTTCCCTTAATTGGAAAAATATGCCTGCCTTTGTTGATGCTGCTACTGTTAATACCTGAGGTTGCCATCGTCCCAACAACCAATGCTTTGTTACTGTTGTTATTAATATGGTATATTTCAATTCTTTTTTTGTTGTTTATAAAATACTTAATTGCACTTAAAATAAGGTTGAAGGTTGCAGTTACAAAATGGTCATAGATGAATTTGGCTGCTCTGTGTTAATAAGTCCTTTTTAGGATGTGTAACTTGTAGCAAATATTTTGTAATTTGACCTCCAAAACTTTGACTTTACCTGATGAAGATTATTCCATAAACATATACGTTATTATCTAAATATTGAGTAATTTAACATTAAAACCAAAATGTGTTTAATTCATAAATAAATAAATATAATATCTGCATTCAATTACTTTTTCTTTACCTTAAAATGTCATAATTTTTTATAACAATATGTAGGATACTGTTGACTTCCTGATATAGATAACCTTGTATAGGGTTTGCATCATCTGAGGTAGCTTTCATCAATATACTTATCTGAAAACAGTACTCAATTATTAAGTGTGGATATAAAGCATTTTATAAGGAAATGCTTATTACATAGTATATGATTGATTGATTGATAAAATAAAGTTGAAGTTGAAGTTAGTACTTAACCATAAAAACCTATCCTATGACATACTTATTCATCAGGTTCCTTGAATCAGTCCTTGACATAAGGGCTTATCTCATCAACTTCATAAAATAAAATTTAAATGGTAAACAAAAAAGTACATGACATTCTAAGGCATAAATTGGCTAAAAAAGATGCCAGATATAATTATCACATCTTTTTAAACTTTAACTTTTAAGTCATCCCCAAGGGTGACTGGGGAATAGAAATATGGTCACTCTTGGTCTTCTTCCCATGGGCAGTAAATAGAAAGCAAGTTCTTTTAAAAATAGGTGTCATTTCAATAAAAAACATGCAAATTATCTTCATTTCTCCAAAATTTGTCTTAAAAATTCATATGATGTTGCCAGATATCCATTTAAATGATGTAAAATAATCATAGAGAAATTAACATACTTTTGCTGATTCTGGAATTTATCTTACAAAAATGGAATTTTGTTTAAGTTTATTTTAAAAACACTTTTCACCATCTTTGGTTCATTTATATACAAATGTAAAGCTCTTTAAAGAATTCTATTCCATGATTTTTCAACTATGTTCATGTTAAATCAAGCAGTGTTGCATGCAATTTTTTACCTGACAATTTGTGATATCAGCCATGTAGTGTTCACTGTGCTAATATTTTTTGACAAAGGTTTTGTTCTGTATTATCACATGATTATTACTTCTCAGAATAAAAAAAGGCAGATGTTTAAATTTATTTGTACAATAATGCCATTTTAATGTATTTTAAACTGTCACTTAATAGGTGGATAGGTTATTGACATAAACGATTTAAACACAAATAACAATGATTAAAATAAATAAAGGAACTAGATTTAATTCTGCAAATTGTAGACATTTGAAAAAAAAGTTTTAATTTTCAGACAACTTTGTCCCTATTCAAGGGGGGACGTGTGTACAGTGACTCATCAATTTCCTAGACCTACTCGACTACTCCTATGTGCCAAAAATTACCTTCTCCTTCATAAGTCATACACAGATACGCCTGTGTCAAATACTTAGAAATGTACATGTATATCAATATATTTTACCTATTTAACTAAATTAGTCTAAAATTAATAAAACAGGTACCTTATTAACAAATGAAACTTTGTCCATAATATTGGCACAGCTGTCACATTATAGAACTGAAGTGATGTGGAATATTTCATTTCTTCTCCATTTCCAAACAACATAAAGATCTGAAATAAGGTTTAATGAAATTATCTTTATAAATATTCCTGTCCCTATCATTTGTGTTTCAAAAGAATATCATGTCAGCACTAAAATATATTTTGAACCCTTCAAATTTTTTTTTTCTATTTACAAAATTAAAATGATAATAAATGGGGAATGTGTCCATGGGACACAAATGATGCCTCCGCTTGCATATCATATAAAGTTATAAAGGGAGATAACTGAAGAACGGTAAAAGTGACGATACCCAAATTTGTACTTGATCTGAGTTTTGTGGTAATAAGTATTGTGTATAAGTTTCATAACATTTGGTTGAGGCAAACTTAAATTAGAGGACGGAATAAAAAAATTCAGCAATTTTTCCATTTGTAAAGGGCATAACTCTAGAACAGTAAAAGTGACACCACCAAAATTCAAACTTGATCTGTGTTTTGTGGTAATAAGCATTGTGTATAAGTTTCATAACATTTGGTTGAGGCAAACTAAAGTTAGAGAACGGAAACAAATTTTGGGACATACATATGTACGTACAGACGGACAAGGGTAAAACTTAATGCCCCCTCCGCTACGGCGGTGGTATAAAAACAGGTTTATTCATAAACATAATAGGAGAGTTCCGGGATAGTTGTTGCTTCAATGTGGATATTGAAAAAGTCGTATCACGTGACATTTTTCTATGCACATGCCTAGTTATTTTTACCAGGCGCGGATCCAGAGCTTAAAGCGGGGTGGTTTTTTGAGAAGCGTTTTTGAACATTATAGAGGTTGCGGCAAGTCATGCCAGTAGCGAACAAAATGCAAAATTTGCAGTAAATCCCGTCCTGTGAAGTTGGATAGACAATCCATGGGAAATAGTGCAGCCACGCATATTTGAAACATCTTTTTAGCCCGTACATTTCTCGTTTTGGAAAAGGAAAAGAACTAGGTGGGTTTCAGTTTTCATTTAGGATGCTAAAGATTTGAGCACTAGATACAGATGTGGAAATAGAGTTTGCAATATGCTTAGATTCAGCAGGTATCTGAATTTACCGATTAATTATAGAATTTGTTTTAATTGTAACAATAATACAATTGAAGATGATGAGAAACGTGTAATTTTTATGTGAAGTTGTAATTTTATGTAAATGTGTTGTAAGACTGAGGTGAGTATTAAATAAAATATTAAAATATAGGGATAGCAGTCTTGGATTGTCTTAATTAAATCCTTTGATTCTCTAATTATCCCCCCCCCCCCCCCCCCCCAGGCCATGTAATTATGACATGTGAATATTTAACGGAGTATAGCGACATTGTGTCACCCTATTAATTAAGTGCTCACTAGATATTTAATTTATTATAGTAAAGATAACATTAAAATAAGGAAATGATTTATAATACAAAAATTATTTTAAGATTTTCAAGCGCTAGTGTTTACTCAGGTGTATTAAGCAAATGTAATGATTTAAATAGATTTCCACTTGAAATGTCGACCACACCGTAAGGTGACATCGCCAACATGTTGAGGTTTTCAAGCAGACGCTGTTGTATTGATCCAACACTGCATAAATTCATGATGCTATCAGGTGACTTTTGTGTGTAAAAATAAAATTGGACACAGTAAAACAGACTTTCTTGGAACTGAAGTATATGTACTTTCATGTAATAAACTTTAATTTTCCAGGAAGAAAGAATTTTTAACTGTGCCCTTATACCTTGGGTTTTAACAAATATTTCAGTATTTATACCATGTATCTGATTACACCAAGTGTTTTTTATGGATTACCAAAAAGGACCATTTAATCTCCTTCAAATTTGTATATAATCTGACCATAGGGATTGACAAAGGATTCTGAAGGCGGCCAAATCAGAATATATTTCAAGACACAAAATTATATGCATTATTATATGGCTAGTGGAGCAGGATCCGCTTAGCCATCCGGAGCACCTGAGATCACACCACATTTTGGTGGGACATGTGTAGCAACAGTCTTTGCCTGTGCAATTTTGTCACAGTCGCTTGTTTCTGTCAATGGGGGGTTTACTGTCCACAGGTGTGGATAGTAAACCCCCCGTTGACATAAATAAGTGCCTGTGAATTTTGTTAATGTTTTATGATTTTGACTTGTTAACTTTATATTCGTAATCGGACGATCATATTAATAGAAGTAAAACAATAATTAAAGATTTGGTTTTAAGGTAAGAATACAGACCTTGAATGTCAAATAAAATTTTATCAATATTTTAAACGGTAACAGAGGACCAGGACCAAAACTAAAAGTACACTATAACTTTTCCTTTTTGGTAATTGGTCATACTAAATCTTTATCATACAACCGCTTATCTAAAAGGTTTGTCCGAATACCATAACAAATTTATAAGAATCCAAAGCACTACTATTATCATAATTCGGGTTCGATTTATCAGTGGATTTGGTTTTACTTTTAATCTAAAAAGTTTTTCAATCAGATAGAATGGCTAAAACATTAGAGGCTCTAGACAAGTTAGTTCTTAACCAATCATTGCATCGAATGTTACGATAATTCACATCTCTCGACAGTGTAAACGAAATGCGAGGCTTGGCGAGAGTTTCGATGTCGAGAGTAGAGGAACATCGTATTGTACGAGATTTGGTGGTGAAATCTGGTTTTTTTTAATGATCTACAAAAGGCGTGTTCTTTCTATTTGGTCATCGGACATGCTCAACTTTTTCAAGACGTCATAATAGCAAATTCCGAATAGAACCACCAAATTTGACTTCATTATTAAATTTTGACCAATGAAGAACTCTGAAAAATTAAACGAAGCACACATTGATTACACAAAAAAATCAACCAGTCAAGGAAAGTATACATCAGCAAAGAATCAGAAAATATCTTTATACACTTACGTCAGAGGTCAGTTTCTTGTATTTGAATTTTACTTACTTTTAATTGAAATTAGATTTTTTTTTACTATTCTCGAATTCATTGCTTTAAGAAATATGGTAGGCTTCAATCATATTACATAACATTTTCAATGAGTGTGATTCAATAAAATCAAGTTTTCGGACTTCTCTATGAATGTACACATATAATTCCACTTTTTGTCACCATTGACTATTACCTTAGATTGATAATAGAAGGATAATAAAATGAATTTTCCTAAAATATGATAAATAAACAGAGGTTTTGACTTCCTCACCTAATCTACAGTGCTGTCGGCTAAGGTGATGCATCTGAAACTTTACGCAATTGTGTGTGATAATATAACCAATAGACTCCAAATGTTTAAAGGGTCCGATGTGGATTAGAATGTTGTCATTTTTAATAGTATGTTTCATAAAAAAAAAATACCGAATTCAAAAAAGTGTACTGAAAGTAGACCCACTCTCCTTTTTGTGTGCAAAGTAACAGAATATGCAGGAAAACGCATAAATATTCCTAGTAGGATCAATCATGAAATATCATTTAATACCATATACAAACTAGAGGCTCCAAGGAGCCTGAATAGCTCACCTGTCAATTTTGCATAAAAGTGATACAAGGCTGATTATGCAATGCGAATTTTTCAAATAGCTTCAATAAAAACGCAAAAAAGTGTTAAATCATCCTCCAAGGTCAATAACTCCTATAAGTAGTAGACTGACAATTTTAGGTATGTTGACTGATTTGTAGTTCGTGTCCACCTGAAAATTTTAGCTTATTACAGTTTCTCTCCATCTCCTATAAAAAAAAAGATATAGAGCTGTGCTAAGATTTCCACCAGAGTTCCAATGACGTGGATATAGTTTATGCAAAAAAAAAAAAACACAAAATGGTAACACATCATCATTCAAGGGCAATAACTCCTATAAGGAGTCAACTTACAATTTCGGACATGTTGACTATATAGTAGAACTTGTCCTGCTGGTCAGTTTTGCAGTTTTTTTCAACCTACTTCAATTTCTGCTAAAACACAAAAATGAGCAAAAATCTTCTTTCAAGGGCAATAATTCCTACAAGGAGTCAACTGACGATTTCGGCCATGCTAATCTATTTGTAGATTATGTCCTACTGATTATTTTTGGTATTGCGATTTCCCTTTATCTGTTATAGTTTTAAAGATAAAAGCCAAACTAGAGGCTCTAAAGAGCCTGTGTCGCTCACTTTCGTCTATATGCATATTCAACAAAGGACACTCTCCAACATTGTAGACGAGAATAGAATTCATGACAAAAATCTCTGTTTTGTTGATCTTGCATTGCTGATCATTTAGTCTGTTTAGTTTCTCTCTATCTTCTTTGGTTTTTGCTCAAAACAAAAAAGAGGGTAAAAAATCTATAAAATTTGACTTGTTAGTAGATCTTGTCTTGCTGATCATTGTTGTTTAATTAAGTTTCTATCTACCTATTATAATTTTTATCATATAAGACAAAACGAAAAAAAAAATGGTAAACATCGTCATTAAAGGGCAATAACTCCAATAAGGAGTTGTCGGATGATTTCCACCATTTGTCTTAATTGTAGATCTTGTCTTGCTGATCATTTTTGCTTATTTAAGTTTCTATCTATCGATTACAATTTTTAAGATATAAGGCAAAATCGCAAAAATTGGTTAAGATCGTCATCAAAGGGCTATAACTCTAATAAGAAGTCGACTGACGATTTCAACCATTAAACTTATTTGTAGAACTTGTCTTGCTGATCATTTTTGCAATTTAAAGTTTCTCTCTATCTATTGTAGTTTTCAAGATAGTAGGCAAAAATGAAAAAAATGGTAAAATTTGTCATTTAAGGGCAATAACTCCTATAAGAAGTCGTCTGACAGTTTTGACGTATGTGAACAATTGGTAGAGCTCAACATTGTGAACATTTCTGCCCTGTCAGATTTTCTCTATTTATAACGGTTTTCAAAATAAAAGACAAAACTTGCATTTTACCCCTATTTTTAGCCATGTCGGCCACCTTGGTTGGCAGGCGGGGTCATCAGACACATTTTTTAAACTAGATACCCCAATGATGATTGTGGCCAAGTTTGGTTAAATTTGGCCCAGTAGTTTCAGAGAAGATTTTTGTAAAAGTTAACAGACGACGACGGACGACGACGACGGACGCCAAGTGATGACAAAAACTCACTTGGCCCTATGGGCCAGGTGAGCTAAAAAAGGTGAAAATAGTCATTAAAGGGCAATAATTCATAATCAAATGTCGTCTGACAGTTTGGTCCGTATGAATGTTAGGCAGATTTTGACATTCTGAGCATTTCTGTCCTGTCAAATTTTCTAAAGCTATAACGGTTTACAAGATAATAGACAATACTTGAATTTTATCCTTTCTCCTTTTTTAGCCTTGGCAGGTTAACCCGGGTCATCGGACACATTTTTTAAACGAAATACCATAAGGATGATTGTGGCCAAGTTTGCGGGTTCCATCTGGTTCAGTAGCTTAGAGAAGAAGGTTTTTGTAAACGGACGAATGACGACGACACAAAAGACTCCAAATAAACCGAAAAAAAGTTAACAAAAGAAGCAATCACGCATAAACACAAATACAAACACAATCAAAATCCAGCATTCATGCACCGACCAATAAAAAAAGTCATTTTTAATCAGAACTGCTGTCGACTGGAACATACTTGAAGACAGAATAATGACAGTAAAGTCAACCGAAGGCTTTAAAGCGGCACTATATAGCTGTAACCGGGACTAATTGTGCTACGTCCCCGTTGTAATAAAGCCATGGGGGTTCTACAACATACCCATACAGATAAAGATACATGCAGATATGCACACGTAAAGCACTCACGTCTTGGATTTATAGAAGTTTACAATGAACTTGTGGTCAAATCAATTTGGAATTTAGTACATTTTCATTATGAAAAAAAAAAAAAAAAGCATTTATCAAATAAGAGTTGTGATCCAGATTTTACTGCTTACTGAATATGGAAATGTAATAGTACGAGCGGAGCATGGTAAAGTAAGTCTAAGAAACCAGTTAAATAAATTGCAACTTAAAAAAATCCTTTTTAGGCTTTGTATGTGCATTTCATACATGTATGTCTTTATTTCATTATTCTCATCCATCCCTAGAAGTATAAATTCTACATAAACATTTTCCCGTATTCACATGTACTTTATCAATTTCAATGTGCATACAAAATTCCTTTATAATCCGAAATACCACACGATTACGTATACATGTATTTCACCTTAGCACATGTATCGTAGGACAAGCCAGAAAACTGTCCCTCCTCTCCTAAAACACAAGTTCAATAATATAGAAATAATAAGATGCGACAAGCAGTAGAGCAAACAGTTATCGTGTCAAAGATGTTATTGAAAAAAATGTATGACAAAAATATAAAAGTATAAACAACTCATGACTGGAGGGAAATGAAGAAACGTTTACCGGACAATCACATGATGAATTAATTCAACTACTGATAAAAGATGTTTACGCACTTGATATTCAATGTTATAGCTCCAGGCCCGTGTCTTATACAAAATAATAAAATATTTCATTCTGATGTCAAGTCATATAAAGTGTAAAGACCCTTCGCTTCGATCATTAAAATAAATGTGTCATCAAAAAAGTTTAAGCCATGATTGTTCTAATTAAAACATATAGCCCATATAGGATTAAATCAAATAACTAATGGCAATTAATATGTATCTGACAAACTAATAAGAAATGCTCTAAATGGTACATATTGATTAAAATTTACTGTTAATGATTTATAATATTTTTTTATTGTTATAGCTCGACACCCTGTGATAAATACAGGATGAGAAAAACATCAAACAAGACCAATGCCGTGTCTCGGCTTGCGTTGTATCGTGCTGTTTGGAAGAACATATAACAGTGCTATAAAGATTGTATAAAAATTTAATAATAAGTTAAAGTTGCAACCAATCAAAATTCACTTTCAGAAGTTTGCTCCTTTCCCACATGTGTTCAATCTGTGTGCAAAGTTTGAATAATGTTGAAGGCAATAAATTTGAAATATAGTTGGAAAAACTTGGTACCCCTATAATACTCAATGACAAAAATGATTAAGTTCTACACAACGGAAAACTCAAAATAATAATTCAATGCTGTCCAAGATTTTAGCATAGATGGGTATTACATCTATGGTTTGAGCTAGGCGCACATTCTCAACCTATTTGCTATTACTGAGCAAAGTTTAAATAATGTCAACGGAAAGGTGTTAGAGCTACGTAATTATGACAGAAACTAGCCTACCGTGGATCATGTGTGTTTCCTACAGACGGACGGAATAGAGTGGTAACTATACATGCTGTCACCTCTGGTAAACAGTAATTAAACCCCTTCAGTGTGATCTGCAAATTCTGTCATGATAAAAGGCGACAAACTTGGACTGCCACTATAGAAAACTGAAGGAGACAAAAAATATTACCTGGCAAAAGAGTAATTGTAATGGTTCTTTTACACACAAAAAGGCGACTCTCCAAATACGAGGCATAGGATTTTACGTCCCAAAGTTGCGTAAATACTAGTTAACAACATGCACAACAATTAAAACGGATACCCCCTACTGCCTGATGGGAGAAGTACAGAATACATTATTTCTATACCCAGTCAATTTTGATCAAGTTTGCCTATAATTAGTTATGCAATGATTGCTCTTAATAAGGTAGTCATTCAAGTATGACATTGGATTCTAAGTCGTTCCTGTCCAGAAAATTTTCTAAAGATGCACATTGGGTCCAATTTGACATTGCTGTAAATTGTTTTCTGCTTAATATATAGAAAGTAGCAGTAGCTATATCTTCATTCGCCGAGATGTGAGGACAACGTAATTTTCAATTCCTCCTGTTCAATCTACTATCTCTATTTCATTATAGTCGACTGATATATGATTAATAAATCTCATAAATAGGTGTAAACATACAGATATTTCAATTTCTAGGTCAATTTGTAATAGCCTGTCCAATCTATAATATGATTACTGCAAAATGACCTGTCTACGCTTATTAACCTAGAAAGGACTATGAGAATATTATGTTATTTTGTCGTGTAATGATCGTTAATGCTCTTTAATCACAGCAGTAGCTGGTTATAATCACCTCGAGGTTTCTATAATTTTACGGTACATGGTCAAGATATAACAATTTAAATGAAAAAATAATTAAATACACATTTCATACATACTTAATGCTTGTAATACTACCTACATTTCACTTCTTAGGTCAGATGACCAAGTTTACCCCTACGTACAACATTATTTTATATTAACTTAGGTCTGTCCTTCTTTTCTGTCTGTGAAGTATTTTGTAACATTTTGTGGAACTTTTTTGGAATATACTAAACATGGGTTCTAATTATAATCTAACTCTACAGTGGAATCAAGATTATTACGACAAACTTCTTCCGAGTGTTTTTCTTCAAGGTGTTATCTTCCTATTTGGATTTATTGGAAACATAATTGTTCTTATGGTATATTTCTTTCGAATGAAAGCAAATCGAGACGACCGCTATTTCATTCCGATCTTGGCAGTTTTTGACCTAGTAGCTGGTACAGTGGCATCTGTGTTTTACGTATTGGAATCAATATATTTTGTAGATTTTCCATCAACAGGACTCTGTAAAGGTCTTCTTTTTGCAATGACAAGCACTTCCAGTTTGTCGGCATTGCTTCTTATAGCCATTGCCGTCCAAAGATATCTGAAAATATGCAAGCCACTAGCAGACCAAATGGACGAAGCAAAACGAAAAATATGTCTTGCTGCTATAGTTATATTTTCTATTGTTAATTCGTGTCCTGTTTTACTCTTTTCTGGAAACAAATATATCGAAGGAGAATTCAACGGCTTGAACGTAACCGGATGGACGTGTTTTACTGGCTCTGGGAAATACCCAAACTATGAAGCAATTTATTATTACATTATATTCTTTTTAATGGTAGCAAACATACTCACTATTGCATTTCTCTATATCCCTATTGGACTTCAGCTATATCGACATATAAAACTTAAGGATTTACGACGGCCAAGCATGGACATCGCTTCTACACAATTTGAATCTATATCGGAAAACAAACCAAGCGATGGAAGCACAGGTGAAATTACTCGCAAGAAATCTATGCACGCAAGCAAAATCAATTTTAACAGCATGTTTTTGACCATTATTATACTCTATCTCGTTTCTTACACACCAACTTGTGTTTTTCTGATCATAAGTAAATTAAACCATGAACTTTGGTACAATATTTCTACAACAGAGATGATAATCTACTTTATTTTACAAAGATTCTATGTGATCAATCACGTGGTTAATCCGTTGATATACGGTTATTATGACTTGAAATTTCGCAAAGATTTAGTCAGTCTTTTTCGTTGCTCATGATTCTTTGTTTATAAAGTGTTTTTGTACTTTTTTGTATATTTGTGTATACCATTGAAAACATTATAACAGTATAGTCTGTAACGAGAAATTATTCATTCGGTCAATGTTTAACAGTAAATTAACGATGAAAATATAAAAAGTTTCACTACTTACTAATCTTCCAGTAAAGAAGCAATGAATGGAATATAGAGAGCAAATTTAATTAGATCAAATGGGACTATACATTTTCTTAAAAAATGCTTTCCAATTTAAAGAAAACAAATATAACAGTGTAAAAGGAGAAATTATCGACAATTTAAAAATAGAATAAGGAGATGTGGTATGATCGCCAATGAGACAACTATCCACCAGATGACGTAGATGTTAGAAACTATAGTTCAACATACAGCCTTCAACAATGAGCAAAACCCATACCGCATAGCAAGCTATAAAAGGGTCTCGACACTATAAAATGTAAAACAATTCACACCAGAAAGCCAACGAAAAAGACTGTTTTACCAGAGACATATATAGTATTAAATATTATTCTTTATTTAAGAATGAAACACAAAAAGCAGATTATTAGGTCCATTAATAGATAACATATATTTATAGTGATAAGATTGTGGAGGGGGGTTAATTTATAAACGAAAAACTGAGTCTCACTGGTTATAAGGGTACGAAATAAACAAGCTTTAAGTTAAAGTGTATTACATGATTTTCCCGATCTATTTCTGTGCAATTACTATAGAAGTAAATACAAGATTAAACCAGACCAAAGTATACGATTACTAGTATTTTCATTGCATGAGATATCGGAGAAACTTTTCAATACAATCAAAATGTTCTCTGCATGCGGTTCATTAAAGACTGAGACTACTATAACGCAGTGTGTTATATAGTCTCCGTTAAAAATTTAATAGTTATAGGAGGTAACAGAAATATAAGAAAGGAAAAAAATTCTAAAGCAGAACACAGAAATAACAAAATTAAAAAAAAAAGCAGATACGGAATCACCGGGTGTTAAAAGGGGAATCAACAATCGAAACCAACCGGACAATATCAAGAGCAACAATACAGATTTACGGCCAAACAAGTAAAGACGAATGCTTAAAACTTTGAAATCTTAATTTGGTAGTACGAATAAGTTCCCACAAAAACTTGGATTAAATTAGGTGCTTCTGAAGGATAATCGTGTTTCATGCGACCCCAGCGTCTTGCTCATAGACCAAAGCCGGTTAAAGTCTAATTCGTTAAGGATCAAATTGATAAAAGAACTTGAAACACCCAGAGGAAAATGTATACGGTAATTTGTATTATAATCCCTGATAACGATCGACCAAGTCATGACAGTTGGCTGAAATGATGTAGCTTCTTTAAGGAAGTCAATTTAGGATCCTATATTGCATGGACACACCTACTTGAAAAAGCCAACTGCAATACTGGTATACATTGCTTCTCCTGAGAGAAAATATTTAGTCTTCATTTTATGCTTTTATCACGTTTGTCTTAATCAAGTTTTGCGGTCAATCTTTTGTCTATGACAAAGTCCCATTGAGATGTGTAGATTCCTGTCATGGATTCGTTATACTTTTCCAATTTCCTCGTTTTCTGTGCAATGGTACTACTATGCACCATTTGTATCAGCATTGCCTCGATACTTTATATAATATCATTTTCAGTGTTGCAAGGGATTGGATCATTATACTGTGAGATTTAGCAAACTTAATATATGCAATTTAATCCTGTATTTCTTTGAATAGTTGGTGCATATTTTGTGCAATTAGTTTGGTATAAAGAGTCGTTTTGAAATTCCGAAATCTTAAAAAATGAAATTATTATTGTTTTGGGGATAACGTTGTTTATTTTGCGGTAAAGATTTATCTATACACTTTTTCTGGAGTTGCTATAACGCAATGTTATAGTAATCTTAGAGTTTTTAAAGTCTGAGAATAGATTTCAAAATGTTTGTTCTAGTAATTGATAAAGTATCCATTATGTCTAATGGTGATGGATTCAGTATTGAAAAAAAAACAGGTGATGGGGTGCATGAACGGGTTGTGACATCAACTGATCAGGTGTTATGTTCACATTCCTACAAAATACAATTTGAATATCAAAGGAGTTATCACAATTTTGTATCTATTGTAAGTATTTCAATGAACGTCACTGTTGGTGACAATTGAAAATATAGAAATAAGGAGATGTGGTATGATTGCCAATGAGACAAATAGTCATTAAATTTCAAATAAGTGCATATAAGCAATTATAGGTCACCGTACGGCCTTCAACAATGAGAAAAACCCATACCGTATAGTCGGCTAATTTATACCAATACAATTTACGAAAAACAAATATGACGGACATGAACAAACGAGAACCTCTGAACTATAGGCTTCTGACTTGGGACAGACACATAAAAAATGTGGCGGAGTTATAACATGTTTGTTAGCGCCCCCCCCCCCCCCCCCCCCTAACCTGGGACAGTGGTGTAACAGCACAACATAAGATCAAACTGTAAAATCAGTCGCAATTGGCTTTACTCAAAAGATTGGTACGTAGCAAAATAGCAACTAATAGAACACAAATAGACACAAAGCACAGAAATAAGAGTACTCGTACTTACTGAAAGCTAGTTCAAAGCCAATTACAACTAATAGATAAATCATGCTCTCCAAGAATAAAGTATCAATCAGTTGACATCTAACGTATTTAGTGTAAAGACGTCACAAACAATCTGAAAAACACATGGCCTAGCTTGTGTAAATCAAAACACTAGTAAACAGTATCGACTGGTTGTAGGATCATGCGTTCTCATCACTGCTTATATATAGCAATATATAATATTTTGTTATGTTTTAATTTTTCAAAAACAAATCCAATGTTACGGTACCGATAAAACAATATTTAAAGATTGTACTACTGTGTTAAATTGACAACCTTTAAGAATAAGTATACCCAAAGTATCAATGAGTTTACATGGATCGTATCTAAATTTGTGGACTCTATAAACAACATCACCGCAAAAGTTAGGATGCGATATCCAGTTTTTAATAAGAATTATACAGGTACAGCCAAGCTTCCTAACCAAATCTTTGTATTCATGAAAGAATTCGGTAAAGGTTTAAATAATTTATGGTAACGAAATCCCTGACTTAATAATTTACCATTTATACTTAAACTGCGTTCATTGACATCTAAAACGCGACTACAGACAAGGAAATGGTGAACAAGTTGAAGATTTATTAAACGAAAACGGACTATCATCCGTTTCTATCACTGTTTCGGATTCCAACCTGATGTCAGCCCCAAATGCCAGTAGATAGTGCTGACAGTACTGTTAATATATAAACGTTGATTTGATGGAATTATATCGTTGTACTTACACTAAGGTTGAAATCTGAAGGCAAAATTGACCTGTGACATTTTTGGCGTTTTTGTGTTTTAATTGATATTTTTGTCAGTTTGTTTTGACAATACTTGGCTTCCCAAGATTAAGATGTAGCATATTCATGCAATGTTCTAGATCACAGAGATAGATCTGTTCATTCTGTTTTCCTTTTGTATTATTATGCTGTTTGGTTGTTGTCTCATTCGTGTTTATCCACATTTTATTTAGTAAGAGGTGATATTCTTCTACACATACGCTATGAATATGAACACCCTTTTATTGTCGTTTGTGTTATCATAGATATAATATCCTGGCTATTATGTCTATGGTGTTATAGATATTTTAAATGGGGAAAAAAATCTGTATTATTGCAGATTATTTCTTATATGCTACTGCTATTTTACCGACCCTCTAGCTTTCAACAGATGGGATTTAGCTACAGCCAACTGTTAAAAAAAAACCTTTATACTTTATATAGGTATTTTTCAGAGACATATATATTACACATGTCTCTGGTATTTTTTAAGAGACATGTGCCTGTGGATTTAGCTGTGCGTTGTGGTGTAGTCATTCTTCGGGTTTTAGTTATAGTAGTTCGAGAAAAAACACATTGCTAACCTTGTACTTTCGGTTTTTACTTTCACTTTAAAATTGGAGAGTTTCACAACATTTCATGCAAGGTTTTTGTCTAGAAAAATCGAACTAATGTGTTATATAAAAGAAAATTGGTTTTATTTCTTCATTATTAAGTTTGTGATTGAAACAGTTTAAAATGTTGGATAAAGCAGCAGTGACCGAATACGTAAAACTGGTAAGTCATTGTTTACAACTGTCTTCTTCTTTAAGTTTCAAGCGATCCTTCAATTATTGAAGATTATTCGCCGGGCTGTCCAATAAAAGTAAAAAAAAGAAGAAAAAACACATTTAAAGCCCACTTGTTTTGTGAATTTTTGGACTTTACCCGATTTGGTATTGAATCTGATGTCAGTTCGAAAGGGTGTCAGTTGCTAGTGCTTAAGTTTAGTACTGCCAATATCTGAACCATGATATATGATCATGATGATTGAATTTTATAAGTGTTCTTCTACTAAGGTGACAACTCCTGCAGGCACAATTGCCTGTTTTGGGGTTTTGATGGTAAGCCAACTTGTTTTGTAAATTTTGGGATTATGTTAGGTTGTTTTTGATTTAACGTTACAATTTTGATAGAATTGAGCATTCATAAAAGCACACTGAACAGTTATTTACAAAAAAATTGACACTGGTGCACCGCTAAGTGTTAGTTAAAAGAGTTAGATGGGATGACTACCGAATGTCATTGTATACATGACCTTGCACCATTAGAAGATGGGGATTTTCAGAGGAATAATCTTGCAGTTGACAAAGTTTATATATATAAATGTTATGTAGGGTAATAATCTCACTTTTTTGGTGATTCAATCCAGCATTTAATATTCTATGGTAATTTTCTTTGAAGATCATTATTTGGTTTCTGTATCCACGTGCTTGAGGCATGGACACATTTTTAAAGTTTTAAGATTTATAGGTAAAAGAAAAATTAAAGTAGAGGGTTTCCATGTCCATTTTCATAGACATTGTACATTGTAGATATTATTATTGAATTTTGCTTGATCCCTAGGTAAGGTTTCCCATTTGAGATGGGGAAAAAAACCAACCATAGACTTAAGTGGTACATTTGTAAAGATGAAGGTTTTATGCACATTTAGGATTATAGTCATCAGTTGTTCATATAACCCTGCATCTGTGTTCATCAATGCACAAAGAAACAATGTAGCATGATTAACATCGTTTAAAGTAATTCCAATAAAATCAGTGATGATAGGGACTTGAAATTCAATGTCAGGTGTGAACTTTTGCTCTGTCATGTCTGTGTTCATGACTGTGACTTAGAGATGAAGACCAGCAACAATAGTCAGTCAGGGGTACTACTTGTACAAGTAATTTTTATTTACTTTAAGAAGTAAATATAAATATACTTATATAAGTAAATTTGTAGGATACATTGTACTTATACAAGTGTATTTTATTTACTTGTATAGGTAAAAAAAAATTGGGCTTAGTTATGTCCCTTAGACATTCAGATTTTTTTACTTATACAAGTAAAAAAGTCATCCTATCTTCTTTTCTTGAATTCTTTGGACTTCTTTGCTCTAATAGAATTTTTAATTGTCTGTCCTTTGCAGATGTCTTTATTAATCATTTATGTGTAATTTCATGGACAATGAAAATCTCCTTTGTCTGTTATCTTCAGAACACTGCCCATTTACAAGCCCCCAAGGGGCAATTTTTGAAGGCCTTGCGCAAATACTTAAGATCTTTGCTCAATCAGTTTCTTTGTTGAATTAATGAGAAGAAACATTGAACTATAATCAAAAATTATGAGCTAACCTGAGAAAAATTGTTAAAGGCATGTTTTACATCTCAAAACTTGAGAATTTTTGTGGGACTGTAAAAAAAATTACTTATACAAGTAAATTTTTGAGAAAATTAAGGGGAGATTATTCAAACATTATAATTAACTTATATAAGTATATTTTATTTACTTCTTCAAGTAAATAAAGATTACTTGTACAAGTAGTACCCCTGACTGATAGTACTGTTCCTTGGCTTTAGATTTTGTCGAGTATGTGTAGGGATTTTATATCATGAATTACTTCTTTTCCATTCCATTGCATGGGTTGAATAAACACCATATTCCTTCTTTTCAACAAATAAAACATTTTGACAATTTACTTACTCATTGTCCATGTTTCAGTGGCCTGATATTGTCAGAAGGAATATATAGGTTTTCAAAGAAATAAATACCAGATGCTTGTTTGATAAATAAATATGTAAGACTCTAAAGTGCGATGGGGACGCTAAAACGCGATGGTCACGCTAAAGTGCGATGGTCTACGCTAAATTGCGATGGTTTGATACTCTAAAGTGCGATGGTCTGGGCTATTCAATGGAATACGCTAAAGTTTGTTGCCTCAATACGCTAAAGTGCATTTTTCCGCCAAAGTGCGTTTGATCGCAAATGTATGGACGTTAGCAACGTCACATACCGTTTGTACACACAAAAATGGACATGCCGGAAAACGAGAATGTTTGTCTATATGAAGGGTTTTTATTAGACAAGAAAAGAAAGAAGAGAGAAACAAATGATTCCAATCCGGATTATTTTTGGACGGCACTGGAAGAGGTTAACTTTATTTGTAAAAAGAAATTTGATCAAAACCGCTGGAGTTCCAAAAAAAAATTAAAAAAATTTAGAAACTCCTTCTATGTTTGTAATCCCATGTCATGTACTTGCGTAATTCTAATTGAATTATTCTAAATAAAACATCTTTTTTTACAATATCGTTCGTCATTTCTGTTAAAGAGATGGATATTCGTTAACTAGACAGTAACCTAACGACTACAGGTGTAGTATCATAATATGATTGCCAATGAGACAACTCTCCATCCAAGACCAAATGTCATTAATGTAAACAACTATAGGTTAACTCATGGCCTTTAACAGGAAGCATTGGCTTAAACCTCATATAATTAAAGTATTCTATAAAGATCAAATGGCCTCAAAACGACCAGTGTAAAACATTTCAAATGAGAAAAAAACTGCCTGATTTCTATACAAAACAATGAACGAAAAACAAATATGGAATAAAGCAACAAACGACTACCACTGAATTACAGGTTCCTGGCATGAGACAAGTTCATAAAGTATATACTAGCTACTGCAATGTAACCATTACACTTTTTATACGACCGCAAAAATTTTGCAGTCGTATATTGGTATGACGTTGGCGTCGTCGTCGTCGTTGTCATCGTCGTCCGGCGTCGTCCTGTGTCGTCCGAAGACACATTGGTTATCGCACTCTAACTTTAGTTTAAGTGAATGGATCTCTATGAAATTTTACCATAAGGTTCAATACCACAAAAGGAAGGTTGGGATTGATTTTGGGGGTTACGGTACCAACAGTTAAGGAATTAGGGGCCAAAAAGGGGCCAAAAATAAGCATTTTTGTAACTTCCAGACATAACTTGTGTGTTAGTGTATGGATCTCTCTGACATTGTACCACAAGGTTCCATATCACAAATGGAATGCTGGGATTGATTTTGGGGGTAATTGCCTTAAAATTTTAGGAATTAGGGGCCAAAAAAGGGGGAAAAAACAAGCATTTTTCTAGTTTCATGACAATAACTTGTGTGTAAGTGTTTGGATATTTCTGAAATTGTACTACAAGGTTCCATATTACAAAGGGAAAGCTGGAATTGAGTTTGGGGGTTATTGCCCGAAACGTTTAGGAATTGGGGGCAAAAAAACACATTTTTCTAGTTTCCAGACAATAACTTGTGTTCAAGTGTATGGATCTCTCTGAAATTGTACTGCAAGGTACCATACCACAAAGGGAAGGCTGGGATTGAGTTTGGGGGTGATGAATCATAAGGGGGTTCAAAAAATTTGGGGGGGGGGATTTTTTTTTTCTTTCCTTTTTTTTCTTTTTTTCCTTTTTTTTTTTTTTTAAATTTTCCATTTTAAGTTGGTTATTTCTGATTTATATTTAAAAGCAAATAATAATGATATGGTAGGAGATACACACCAAACAGGATGTGTAAATTATTATATAATAAGTATTGTGCAATAGCAAGAAATCTTCAATTGCACAGTATTGCGCAATAGCAAGAAATCTTTAATTGCACAGTATTGCGCAATAGCAAGAAATATCCAATAGCACAATATTGCGCAATAGCAAGAAATTGTCAATTGTGCAGTATTGCACAATAGCAAGAAATATTCAATTGCACAGTATTGTGCAAAAGAAGATACTTCGTATAAATTGCTTATTTCTTGACCAATTTCAATGGGGTTTTATTCTTGAATTCTTGTTCTTCTTTAATATGCTGAATCTAACCGTGTATTAAGTTTTTGGATTTTGGGCCCCGTTTTTAAATTGGTCCACATTGAGGTCCAAAGGGTCCAAAATTACCGGTAAACTTTGTTTGATTTCATCAAAAATTGAATTATTGGGGTTCTTTGATATGCCGAATCTAACCGTGTATTTAGATTCTTAATTTTTGGTTCCGTTTCCAATTTGGTCTACATTAAGGTCCAAAGGGTCCAAAATTAAACTTAATTTGATTTTAACAAAAATTGAATTCTTAGGGTTCTTCGATATGCTGAATCTAAACATGTATTTAGATTTTATACGCCCGTTTACGGGACGTATTATGGTATACCGTTGTCCGTCTGTCCGTCCGTCCGTCTGTCCGTCCGTCTGTCCGTCGTCAACATGTCGGACATTAACTCAAAAATGTTTTTACCAATTTGCATAAAACTTTGGTGAATTGTTTATAACTATTGACGTGAGCTCCCTTTCATTTTTTATAAAATTTAGATTTTACGTTTCCGAGTTATGGGGTTTTATTCATTAAAAAAAAGGGGGATTTTACAGTTTTTGGACAATAAGTCAAGAATGCTTTCACCAACTTGCAAGAAATTGTGGTGAATTGTTTATATCTATTGACATGAGCTCCCTTTCGATTTTTATAAATTTAAGATTTTACGTTTCTGAGTTGCAGGGTTTTATTCATAAAAAAGGGGGGATTTTCCAGTTTTCGGACAAAAACTCAAAAATGCTTTCAGCAATTCTTATGAAACTTTGGTGAATTGTTTGTATGTATTGATGTAAGCTCCCTTTAGAGTTTTATAAATTTTACATTTTACATTTCTGAGTTATGGGGTTTTATTCATTAAAAAAAGTGGTGATTTTCCAGTTTTCAGACAATAACTCAAAAATGCTGTCACCAATTCTCATGAAACTTTGGTGAATTGTTTATATCTATTGATGTAAGCTCCCTTTTTATTTTCATAAATTTCTATTATGACATTGAGAATTAATTGAACTTTATTTGTTTATAGTCTGACAACAGATTTACTAAGTATTGCACAACAGCCAGAAATCTTTAATTGAATATAAATTCAATTCATATAACCTATTTCAAGTTCTTTGACTACATTTATTCAGAAACCTATAATATGTCAAATATTTAATTACAATCCAAATTCAGACCTGAATCAAGCTTGAATATTGTGTCCATTTTTGCCCCAACTGTTCAGGGTTGGACCTCTGCGGGCGTATCTAGCTGCGCTCAGCGAAGCAGTTTATTGATTATGGGCCCAGTTTTCAAGTTGGTCCAAATCAGGGTCAAAATTTAACTTTGTTTGATTTCAACAAAAATTGAATATATGGGGTTCTTTGATATGCTGAATCTAACCATGTATTTAGATTTTTGATTTTTGGGCCCCGTTATCAACTTTGTCGACATTGAGGTCAAAAGGGTCAAAAATTAAACTTTGATTTCATCAAAAATTGAATTCTTGGGGTTCTTTGATATGCTAAATCTAACCATGTATTTAGATTTTGGATATTGGACCATAATAGGTGAATGTCCAATTTAAAATTTTTAAGTTCTTAGACCACATTCATTCTGTGTCAGAAACCTATGCTGTGTCAAATATTTAATCACAATCCAAATTCAGAGCTGTATCAAGCTTGAATGTTGTGTCCATACTTGCCCCAACTGTTCAGGGTTCGACCTCTGCGGTCGTATCAAGCTGCGCCCTGCGGAGCATTTTATTAAATAACTATCGTCATTTAAATAAAAATAAGAGAATGTGGTATTGTCAATGATACAACTATCCACCCAAGACCAAATGTCGGTGATGTATGCAACTAATAAACGTACAGCCTTTAAAGTGGAGCCTTGGTCCACGCTGCATAGCAAGCTATATATGGCCACACAATAAACAATGTAAAACAATTCAAAAGAGAATGACAACAGCTTGAATTGAAAAGAAAACAATAACCGAAAAACTACTAGGAACACAGCAACAAACGAAAACCATTGCCTGAACCCCAATCCCGTTACACCATCGAACTGTGACTTTAGCGTGTTATACCATCGCACTTTGGCGTGTTATACCATAGCACTTTAGCGTGTCATATAATCGCATTAAAAAAAATAAAGAACAATCGCACTTTAGCGTTTGACACCATCACACTTTAGCGTTTGACACCATCACACTTTAGCGTAGACCATTGCACTTTAGCGTGACCATCACACTTTAGAGTACCATCGCACTTTAGAGTCCTACAAATATACACCATATAATGAAGACGGCGATGTTCTTGTTAGGATTATTTAGATGCAAAATTTCTCGGAACCGACAATTGTTTTAAATAGATTCTAACGTATATATAAATATTGTTTGTAATTGTACTTATTTTGTAGGTTATAGAAGATGAAGTAGAAAGAGGAACAGATGACCAATTTTTATGTGACAGTGATTTAAACACTTTACTGGTGGATGATAAAAGCAGCTTAAAACCAAGGGAGACAATTGTTGGTTACCCTACTTACCCATTATACAGAGAAATAGGAAATATGCTTTATCAGTGGTTAGAAAACAAGTATGAACATAATATATAATTTGTTAGTTCGTATTAATTGCTTGTGATGAAAATATTAATTCTTTTTAGAGTTTGTACAATTATATCTCTCATATCAAACAGATAAATGATGCAATATTATCAGATTGCGTACATTGTATATAGAATTATGAAATACAAATAAAATTTCAGATAAATATTATTTTTAATATGGTACTATTAGAACTGATTGATTGATTAATGTTTGCTAACTTATGCTGCATCAGCACTAAAAGGCTATATCAGGGCGTGCTTGAGATTTATGATTGCAGTTATTGTTAATTAGATACAGATCTCTCAATGTTAGAAAAATTCAGACTGATACACAATTTTATATTTGCATGTACATCATTTAGCAGGTCTGAATACAATACTCAAAATCAGGTCTTGTAAAAGTCTATTCACTACTTACACAGTACTTCAAAAATGCTAAAATAGTACCAATAAAATAATTATTAATATTTATAAGGTATGAAAATAAAACATAAAGTAAAAATCAACAAAACCCCTTATAAACAACTGGATTTTTGTTGTTTTTGAAAAAAGTAAATCAACAGTCTAATATAAATACAGATCCCGTGTCCATGCTTTGTTCTATTTACTTGTCGTAAAATTAGTACGCAAACAAGTGAAATATTATTATATATGTCTGCCTTATATTTTTTTAATGTGTACATCACCACAATAAAAACCAATGATCCTGGTGAAACAACATAAATTAATAATATTAGAAATATATAATATACAATACTTATTCATCTGAATGTTATGATTACAGAGAATGTCCAGTTGTAGATCTACCTAAGTATGATTTGTTGGATGAGAAAGTGTATGTGGAATCAAGGTAAGTTTTTGCTGTATCTACATCAAAGAAAGACTTAATTGGCATGAAGGGGGTAGGTGTGTGCCAAAATACATAAATTAAAATTGAATTTCCCCATGATTAAAAAATATGTTTTATCTTTTGAAAAAAGCAAATAATATTGTGTGCTATGAATTTAGAATTACAGTCTTCAGTCATGGAAGCATGTGAAAAAAAAAGTAGTTGATACTTTGAAAATATCCCTGTACCACCTCAATCAAATGTCAACCCACTGACCAATGTCAGCCAAGAGGATATGTTTTGTGTACCACCTGAATCAAAACAACCCACTGACCGATGTCAGCCAAAAGGATATATTTTGTGTACCACCTGAATCAAATGTCAACCCACTGACTGATGTCAGCCAAGAGGATATGTTTTGTGTACCACCTGAATCAAATGTCAACCCACTGACCGATGTCAGCCAAAAGGATATATTTTGTGTACCACCTGAATCAAATGTCAACCCACTGACTGATGTCAGCCAAGAGGATATATTTTGTGTACCACCTGAATCAAATGTTAACCCACTGACCAATGTCAGCCAAAAGGATATGTTTTGTGTACCACCTGAATCAAATGTCAACCCACTGACTGATTTCAGCCAAGAGGATATGTTATGCATACCACCTGAATCCAATGTCAACCCACTGACGGATGTCAGCCAAAAGGATATATTTTGTGTACCACCTGAATCAAATGTCAATTCACTGACTGATGTCAGCCAAGAGGATATATTTTGTGTACCACCTGAATCAAATGTTAACCCACTGACCAATGTCAGCCAAAAGGATATGTTTTGTGTAACACCTGAATCAAATGTCAACCCACTGACTAATTTCAGCCAAGAGAATATGTTATGCATACCACCTGAATCCAATGTCAACCCACTGACTGATGTCAGCTAAGAGGATATATTTTGCATTTGAAAATGATTATGTACTAACTGTTGTACATGAAATGGATAAATTTGAATATAAGAGACAGCTGTTTACAAAAAGGAAATTGAAAACACAAAAATCATCAAAAGAAAAGACAAAATATATTTAAGTTGATTACATATTACTAATTTTCTCATTAGTCCATACCAAAAACAAGATCTCCACAAATAAATGTACATTCACAGTACCTTGTATATGTATGTCATGTGCATATGAACCAGTTTTTAGTATTTTAATTTAGAGATTGATGGTTATATTGGTAGTTGAAATAAGGTTTTATAATAAGTATTTTCCAAATCTGATTATTACCAAAAGTTAATCGGATAAAAAGATTAAAACACAAATGTGTATTTTGTTTTACAGGACAGCAACATTTGCCACCATTACACCATTGTTGGATGGTATGACTTCACTGTGGGATCACTGGGGTGAGGAGGAAAGGAAATACAGAATCAGATATATTTTGACAGTAAGCCTTTATAATTTAAACTTTTTAAAGAATGATAAAGCTGAGCAAAAATAAAGGTCACTAAGATTTTTTTCTATTTTTACAATTTTTTATTAACTGTGTATTGTATTAGTGTTAAATTTCAATGTAATTGTAAAATAAGGAATTGATTTGACACTATGAAGTTAGAAGAATTATCTTGGTCACACTAGTGAGGTTTCTTATCCTTTAATGAATAATCCATAGGAAAAAGCATCCTCCCTAGCCAAATATTACAATCTGGCCCCCTCCGTTAGCAAAGATAAGGTATTTAGTATAAATAAAGTGTATTCCTTTTAAGAAGGTTTGAAAAAGACCAGAATTATTAATTTGTTTACAATCAGCAATTAAAAGGGTGGTTAGGGGTTAAAGTAAATGTTCATGCAGTTGGGTAATTTGCTAATTCTTTTTAATTCTGAGATAATTATTTTAAATGATAAATAAGAGATGCAAGTTTGAGTGTTCTATATAGAGACTGTTCTGATTATTATTCATAAATTTATTCATGAAAACTGATAAAACAATGACTTTAGGATTTATAATATTGACTTTTTGTTTACCATGGTTTAGTACATTGTATCTGGATCAAAACTTTAGATTCTTCGAAAGGTATTAATGATACTTGGTATTACTGTTGCCAACTGAAGAATGCTTGATGTAGATTGCTTTATTTATTATTCCCTTGAAACTTTGAAATACTAAATGTTTTCAAAATTAATCAACTTTTACTCTACACGATAAAAACATAGTATATTTTTATACGACCGCAAAAAAATTTTGTGGTCGTATATTGGTATGACGTTGGCGTCGTCGTCGTCGTCGTCGTCGTCGTCGTCGTCGTCGTCCGGCGTCGTCGTCGTCCGGCGTCGTCGTCCGAATACATATTGGTTTTCGCACTCTAACTTTAGTTTAAGTGAATGGATCTTTTTGAAATTTGACCATAAGGTTAAATACCACAAAAGGAAGGTTGGGATTGATTTTGGGGGTTATGGTACCAACAGTTAGGGAATTAGGGGCCAAAAAGGGGCCAGAAATGAGCATTTTCTAGTTTCCAGACAATAACTGTGGAACGGTGTATGGATCTCTCTGAAATTATACTACAAGTTTCCATACCACAAAGGGATGGTTAGGATTTGCTTTGGGGGGTTATGGCTCAAACCGTTTAGGAATTAGGGGCAAAAAAGGGGGAAAAACATGGTTGTCCTGGTTAATGGACAAATACTTTAGTACAAAACATAATTTAAAGCAGTGTAAGGGAGATAAATCAAATACATCATTGAAATTATCTCCCTTACACTGCTTTTAAATTATGTATAAAGTAATGGTTAATGAACAATAAAGATAATCTAAAACAGTGTAAGGGAGGTAATCCAAATACAACGTTTTGGTTACTTCCCTGACACTGCTTTTAAATTATGTTTAAAGAAGTGCATATTTATAAAGGAAGACCAGTAAAAATATCTGCAAATGTTTTCATCTTTTTTTTTTACAAAAAAATCCATATGAAAGATTTGACACTATATTTTTATTAATTCTATTATAAAATAGATTAAGTTAGCACTATGGTAAATTTAAATGGGTAATTATGGTTGCCAACTCCATTGGAAATTTGAATTGAGATTGTGACCATATCTTGAGGGAAAGAATTTTTTTGGGGGAAAAAGGGGGGGGGGGGGGATAAAAAGAAATTGTGGGGGGCCAATTTTTTCTCATTTCAGATTTCAGAAATTAAAAAGAATTATTCTTCAAATATTATTTTTTTTTCAAATTTCAAATATTGAAAAATTTCAAGAAGTAATCTTTAATTGCACAGTATGGCGCATTAGATTTGTAAAATCTTTGATCACATTTATTTATTTGTTATGCCGAATCTAACAGTGTATTTAGATTTTTAATTTTGGGTCCAGTTTTCAAATTGGTCTACATTAATGTCCAAAGGGTCCAAAATTAAACTTTGTTTGATTTTAGCAAAAATTGAATATATGAGGTTCTTTGATATGCTGAATCTAAACATGTATTTAGATTTTTGATTTTTGGCCCAGTTTTCAAGTTGGTCCAAATTGGGGTCCAAAATTAAACTTTGTTTGATTTCAACAAAAATTGAATATACGGGGTTCTTTGATATGCTGAATCTAACCATGTATTTAGATTTTTTATTTGTGGACCCCGTTATCTAATTGGTTCATATTGAGGTCAAAAGGGTCCAAAATTAAACTTTGTTTGATTTCATCTAAAATTGAATTCTTGGGGTTCTTTGATTTGCTGAATCTAAAGATGTGTTTAGATTTTTGATTATGGGCCCAGTTTTCAAGTTGGTCCAAGATAGGGTCCAGTATTTAAACTTTGTTTGATTTCAACAAAAATTGAATATATGGGGTTCTTTGATATGCTGAATCTAAACATGTATTTAGATTTTTGATTATGGGCCCAGTTTTCAAGTTGGTCCAAATTGGGGTCCAAAATTAAACTTTGTTTGATTTCAACAAAAATTGAATATATGAGGTTCTTTGATATGCTGAATCTAACCATGTATTTAGATTTTTTATTTGTAGGCCCCGCTATCAAATTGGTTCATATTGAGGTCAAAAGGGTCCAAAATTAAACTTTGTTTGATTTCATCGAAAATTGAATTATTGGGGTTCTTTGATATGCCAAATCTAACCGTGTTTTTAGATTTTTAATTTGGGTCCCGTTTTTTAAATTGGTCTTCATTGAGGTCCAAAGGGTCCAAAATTAAACTTAGTTTGATTTTAACAAAAATTGAATTCTTGGGGTTCTTTGATATGCTGAATCTAAACATGTGTTTAGATTTTTGATTATGTGCCCAGTTTTCAAGTTGGTCCAAGTTGGGGTCCAAAATTAAACTTTTTTTGATTTCAACAAAAATTGAATATATGGGGTTCTTTGATATGCTGAATCTAACCATGTATTTAGATTTTTTATTTGTGGACCCCGTTATCTAATTGGTTCATATTGAGGTCAAAAGGGTCCAAAATTAAACTTTGTTTGATTTCATCGAAAATTGAATTATTGGGGTTCTTTGATATGCCAAATCTAACCGTGTTTTTAGATTTTTAATTTGGGTCCCATTTTTTAATTGGTCTTCATTTTGGTCCAAAGGGTCCAAAATTAAACTTAGTTTGATTTTAACAAAAATTGAATTCTTGGGGTTCTTTGATATGCTGAATCTAAACATGTGTTTAGATTTTTGATTATGGGCCCAGTTTTCAAGTTGGTCCAAGTTGGGGTCCAAAATTAAACTTTTTTTGATTTCAACAAAAATTGAATATATGGGGTTCTTTGATATGCTGAATCTAACCATGAATTTAGATTTTTTATTTGTGGGCCCCGCTATCAAATTGGTTCATATTGAGGTCAAAAGGGTCCAAAATTAAACTTTGTTTGATTTCATCAAAAATTGAATTATTGGGGTTCTTTGATATTCCAAATATAACCGTGTATTTAGATTTTTAATTTTAAGTCCCGTTTTTTAAATTGGTCTACATTAAGGTCCAAAGGGTCCAAAATTAAACTTGGTTTGATTTTAGCAAAAATTGAATTCTTGGGGTTCTTTGATATGCTGAATCTAAACATGTGTTTAGATTTTTGATTATGGGCCCAGTTTTCAAGTTTGTCCATGTTGGGGTCCAAAATTAAACTTTGTTTGATTTTAACAAAAATTGAATATATGGGGTTCTTTGATATGCTGAATCTAACCATGTATTTTGATTTTGGACATTGGACCATAATAGGTAAATTAAAAAAATTCAAGTTCTTAGACCACATTCTTTCTGTGTCAGAAACCTATGCTGTGTCAAATATTTAATAACAATCCAAATTCAGAGCTGTATCAAGCTTGAATGTTGTGTCCATACTTGCCCCAACTGTTCAGGGTTCGACCTCTGCGGTCGTATCAAGCTGCGCCCCAGCGAAGCATTTTATTTTATTATGAATGTAGGTAGAATGAAGGTGAACTTTATATTAGGATACCAGTATATATGATAATACAGTTGTTTTAATTCTATTTTTTAATAGCTTTTAGGAAAGAGAGGAATATTAGATCTATTGGGCATTCGGAAGACTGTGGGAACAAAGGAGATCTTGCCATGTTCCAGGAAAGTGTTGGAGGATTGTTTTGCAGCAAAACATTCGTAAGTTAAAAAAGTACTTTAAAGTACATTTTAAAAAAATTGTAAATTTGTCAACAGTTTAGATAGATGTTATTATAAGAAAATGTGTACTTAAGTCAAACAAATGAAATGAATCTTCTTTAAAAAAAAACCTTTATATTGTTGCTAGTAAGTTCACGCTCATTTAAAGAGAGTATGGCAGTTACAATATAGCTTACCTTCTTCAAGATCCTTGAAACATTTTGATGGGATGGGGAAAAAATGGGAAAATAATTTATGCAGATATGAAAGCACTTATCTCCTGCTTTTTCTAATTTCCTTGTATAACATAACTGTGTGCATTTGCAAAGCCCTTATAGTTAAAAGTCTGAAGAAATCTAGATATAGAATATATACTTTCGTCAAAGTATTATGACATTTACATCAAGTTAATGAAAATCAACTTTCTATATTTATTTTGACAGGCCAAATTCAAGTTCCCAGCTGTCAGTTGGTGCCAGGGCATTAGCCAAGCACTCTCATAGAGATATGAGTACATCTTGGTGGGGTGTGTGTACTGGAAGTAAGTACAAATAAGGGCAAATAAAAATTAGGCATTTCCAGATACCTATTCAAACATAATATTCATGTTTTTGGAAAGGTTACAATTGCAGTGCAGTTGGTTAATCATTCTAAATTCCTGGAGACTTATGAATGTTTGACAAACATAATTTATGATAACAAACAACTAATCCCTTCAATTCCAAATAATAAGCCATAGTTGGTATTGGAATGTTGACATTATGATTTGTCCAAGATGAGAGGATAATCACAATGAATGACACAAAAATGATTTACTGTTTTTTTTTGCTTAAAATTTTTTAGTAAGTTTGCACAACAGATCAAATACTTTACAATGTCTTGAAATAGTGCTAAGTTATTGTCCCTGATATTTTTTTGCCAAATAATTTTTTCAAGGTGATATTTACCTAGGATATAAACAAAATTAATGTAGACACTAAGAGCAAAAAAAGTATAATTCTGTTTCCTCCCTGCTTCCCTAACCGAAATGTTCATGCCTAACAAAACACATTTCTTCAACATATTTGGTTTTTCACCCTTAAAATCCTGATATCTTAAGAGAAGCACTATTTCAGGTCAGAACATTTCCCTATGATTTTTTTAAGACTGTATGCTGCCCTCTACATGTCTTTTGGTAAATTTTTCATTGGGTTGTTATTTCATTGATGCATCTCCTTTGATTCAAATTTAAAATATTTTTCAAGAATAAAATTATTTTACCTACCTACCAACCCTTTTTTGCCAGGAGACAGGGAACAAGTCTTTATTTTGGGGCCTAAAAAGGAATTTCAGTTCTGGCAAATTATGATTTTTATGCCCCCGCCGAAGCGGTGGGGGCATTAAGTTTTACCCTTGTCCGTCTGTACATACGTACGAACGTACGTGCCAAAATTGGTTTCCGTTCTCGAACTTGAGTTTGCCTCAACCAAATGCTATGAAACTTATACACAATGCTTATTACCACAAAACACAGATCAAGTTTGAATTTTGGTGGCGTCACTTTTATCGTTCTAGAGTTATGCCCCTTTATAAATGGAAAAATTGCAGAATTTTTCTTTTCCATTCTCTAATTTAAGTTTGCCTCAACCAAATGTTATGAAACTTATACACAATGCTTATTACCATAAAACACAGATCAAGGTTGAATTTTGGTGGCGTCACTTTAACCGTTCTAGAGTTATGCCCCTTTATAAATGGAAAAATTGCAAAAATTTTAGTTTCTGTTCTGTAACTTAAGTTTGCCTTAACCAAATGTAGTGAAACTTATACACAATGCTTATTACCACAAAACACAGATCAAGTATGAATTTTGGTGATGTCACTTTAACTGTTCTAGAGTTATGCCCCTTTATAAATGGATAAACTTTTTTATTTTTATTTTCTTCTAAATATCAAGTAATTTTTATACGCCCGTTTACGGGACGTATTATGGTATACCGTTATTTGTCCGTCTGTCCGTCCGTCTGTCAGTCCGTCCGTCCGTCGTCAACATGTCGGACATTAACTCATAAATGCTTTAACCAATTTGCATAAAACTTTGGTGAATTGTTTATATCTATTGACGTGAGCTCCCTTTCGTTTTTTATAAATTTTAGATTTTACGTTTCCGAGTTATGGGGTTTTATTCATTAAAAAAAGGGGGATTTTCCAGTTTTCGGACAATAACTCGAGAATGCTTGTACCAACTTGCAAGAAATTGTGGTGAATTGTTTATATCTATTGACGTGAGCTCCCTTTCGTTTTTTATAAATTTTAGATTTTACTTTTCCGAGTTATGGGGTTTTATTCATTAAAAAAAGGGGGATTTTCCAGTTTTCGGCAATAACTCGAGAATGCTTTCACTTACTTGCAAGAAATTGTGGTGAATTGTTTATATCTATTGACGTGAGCTCCCTTTCGTTTTTTATAAATTTTAGAATTTACGTTTCCAAGTTATAGGGTTTTATTCATTAAAAAAAGGGGGATTTTCCAGTTTTCTGACAATAACTCGAGAATGCTTTCACCAACTTGCAAGAAATTGTGGTGAATTGTTTATATCTATTGACATGAGTTCCCTTTTGATTTTTATATATTTTAGATTTTACATTTCCGAGTTGTGGGGTTTTATTCATTTAAAAAAGGGGGATTTTCCAGTTTTCAGACAAAAAATCAAAAATGCTTTCAGCAGTTCTTATGAAACTTTGGTGAATTGTTATATATCTATTGATGTAAGCTCCGTTTAGAATTTTATAAATTTTACATTTTACATTTCTGAGTTATGGGGTTTTATTCATTAAAAAAGGGGTGATTTTCCAGTTTTTGGACAATAACTCAAAAATGCTGTCAGAAATTCTCATGAAACTTTGGTGAATTATTTATATCTATTGATGTAAGCTCCCTTTACATTTTCATAAATTTTTAATATGACATTGAGAATAAATGAACTTTAATTGTTAATAGTCTGACAACAGATTTACTAAGTATTGCGCAACAACACAGTGTAATGCACAACAGCAAGAAATCTATAATTGAATATAAATTCAATTCATATAACCAATTTCAAGTTCTTTGACTACATTTATTCAGAAACCTATAATATGTTAAATATTTAATACAATCCAAATTCAGACCTGTATCAAGCTTGAATATTGTGTCCATTTTTGTCCCAACTGTTCAGGGTTGGACCTTTGCGGGCGTATCCAGCTGCGCTCAGCGAAGCAGTTTATTAAAATTGGAGTTATCTTCCTTTGTCCATGATAATAGTTGAATCAACTACAAGTAATGCTTTATACAATCAATGTTTAATTTTGACTTCCACTGATAAAACACAGATCAAGTTGAATTTGGGTAGTGTCACTTTAACCATCATTGAGTTAGGCCCTTTATAAATCAAAAGATTGCAAAATTTTTAGTTTCCATTCTGTAACTTAAGTTTGCCGCAACCAAACATTATGAAACCTATACACAATATTCATTACCATAAAACTAAGATCAAGTACAAATTTTTTGTTTCCGTTTTCTAACTTTAGTTTGCCTCAACTAAATGTTATGAAACTTATACACAATGATTATTACTACATAATACAGATTAAGTACGAAATTTGTGGCGACACTTTTACCATTCTTGAGTTATGTCCCTTTATAAACATAAAAATTGCTGAATTTTTCGTTTCGGTTCTCTAACTTTAGTTTGTCTCAACCAAATGTTATAAAACTTATACACAACCATTCTAGAGTTATGCGTGTTTACAAATAGAAAAATTGCTGAATTTTTAGTTTCTGTTCTCTTCTTAAGTTAGCCTCAACCAAATGTTATGAGACTTACACACAATGCTTATTACAACAAAACTCAGATGAAGTTCAAATTTGGGTAGCGTCACTTTTACCGTTCTTCAGTTATGTCCCTTTATAACTATATGATATGCAAGCGGGGGCATCATCTGTGTCCACATGTGGACACTATCCACATTTATTTTATATATTAAACTTGTCTTAGATATTTTTGTCTGAACAGATCTTTCAAGAGAAACTATCAGATAGGTATGGGATGATGTTGGCCTCCCAGTATATCTTTTCCTTTGTATTTATTTGATCTGCTTTAGATTTGAATAACTGTCTAAATATTGACCTTGTTACAACTTAAGCTAAACATTTTTCAGCTGAGGAGGCAAAGAATGAGCATGCCTTGAAGATAATGAACAAGATTTTAGATAATGCCACCTGGTTAAACACTCACTGGCTACCGGTAAGTTATTGTAAAGATTTGACTATAAACCAGTCATAACTGGCTACTGGTAAGTTATTGTAAAGATTTGACTATAAACCAGTCATAACAGGCTACTGGTAAGTTATTGTAAAGATTTGACTATTAACCAGTCATAACTGGCTACCAGTAAGTTATTGTAAAGATTTGACTATAAACCAGTCAGAACTGGCTCCCAGTAAGTTATTGTAAAGATTTGATTATAAACCATTCAGAACACTCACTGGCTACTGGTAAGTTATTGTAAAGATTTGACTATAAACCAGTCATAACTGGCCACCGGTAAGTTATTGTAAAGATTTGACTATAAACCAGTCAGAACTGGCTACCGGTAAGTTATTATAAAGATTTGATTATAAACCAGTCAGAACACTCACCGGCTACCAGTAAGTTTTTGTAAAGATTTGTCAGAAACAAGAACTTTTAAAATAGGGTTATTGTACTCATTTTTACAAAACTAAGAAATAATATAAAAGAAATATTTGTGTCCAAAAAGAAAAGGGAAATTATATCTGCATCAGTTTGCTTTGGATAATATGAATTAATTCCAACAAAAATTAACCAAATAAGGATCTGAAAATTGGTAAAATATAGGAAATTTTGAAAATAAAATATTTCTCTCTTTTTCTTCAGCAAGATATCATCATATTAGAAGCCAGACATAACGAAGGTGAGCTTTACTCAATAATAGAATAAATGTAACATTCAATACATTTACATGCATATGCATTTAAAAATTTACTGGAGAGGAGCAAAGTGTACAAACCTTAAAATATCATATGCAAAAAAATCATTGATAAGTCATTTCCGTTTTACTGAAAGTTACTGCTGGCGTCAAATCATAGGTTTCTTCATACTGATTTAAAAAATATATGGTCTTGATAATTGATATACTTATGCTGGAAATAAGAGAGATAATTTGCTACTTCCAGTTTATAGAAGGTCACGCCCAGTCTCAAATGATAGGTTGAATCATGTTGATAAAAAAAAAATATGGTATCTAGGTACTTTTCCATGAAAGAAGTAAAGAAATTGCCCTTTCCGGTTGACTCAAGGTCACTCCCGTTGACATGTTTCAAGGTAAGCAGTCTCCAAACCTAATGCACAAAATCCTATGGCTTTATCATGTACCAGTATGGAGTTATATCAAAGGTCAAAATCTAGAACGCCAAATTGTCTTTTGACCTTGGCCTCAATTTCAAGGACTTAAAGGGAGGATCTGAAATCAATATACTTTAGGTCTCTACTATTTTTGCTTCATGAGTTCTATCTCCATACAACTTATTTTAAACTTTCCAGGGGAGAAAACTATTAATAGGGAAGGTACTCCTTCAACCAAAATTTTAAAGTTACGACATGTAGAAAGGAACAATTTGGTAAATTTTTTTGTCCTTATTTATTACAGTTTGTGAGGAAAAGCGAAAAACAATCAAAAGTTAAAATTTAGATCATGACCTTGACCTTTGACCTTGACCTCAAATTTTTTTTGGTGGACCAAGGACATCAAATCAAAATACCATAGGTCTCTATAACTTACAGTTCATAAGAAACATTTATATATCACTATGTAAAATACAGAAGGGGAAATAGCTCTCATATAGAGTATCCGTATCATTTCTGGTTTTAGGACAATAACTTGAGTATACGTCAATGGATCTCTATGAGATTGTACCACAAGGTTCCATACCAAAAAAAAAGGTTGGGATTTATTTTTGGGGTTATGGCCTTAACTGTTTAGGAAAAAGGGGCCAAAAAAATAATACTTTTCGAATACTTTGTTTAATTTCCTTATTACTTGACCAATTTCAATCAGGTTTAATTCAAAGACTTTAATTCTTGAGGTTCTTTACAATGCTGAATCTAGCCGTGTATTTATATTTTGGATTTGGGGTCCCGTTTTTAATTTGGTCCACATTGAGGTCCGAAGGGTCAAACAAAATCAAACTTTGTTTGATTTCATCAAAAATTGAATTATTGGGGTTCTTTGATATGCCGATCCAACCTTTTATTTAGATTTAAAATTTTGGGCCCCATTTTCAAATTGGTTCACATTAAGGTCAAAAGGGTCCAAAATTAACATTTGTTTGATTTCAACGAAAATTGAATTCTTGGGTTCTTTGATATGCTAAATCTAGCTGTGTATTTAGATTTTTGATTTTTGGCTTGTTTTTCAAATTGGTCCACATTAATGTCCAAAGGGACCAAAATTAAACTTAGTTTGATTTTTTATGCCCCAGCCATAGCGGAGGGGGCATTAAGTTTTACCCTTGTACATCCGTCCGTCTGTCCGTCCGTACGTTTGGAAATTGGTTTCCGTTCTCTAACTTTAGTTAGCCTCAACCATATGTTATAAAACTTATACACAATGCCTATTACCACAAAACACAGATCAAGTTTAAATTTGGGTGGAGTCACGTTTACCTTTCTAGAGTTATGTCCCTTTACAAATGGAAAAATTGCAGAATTTTTCTTTTCCATTCTCTTACTTAAGTTTGCCTCAACCAAATGTTATGAATCTTGTACACAATGCTTATTACCACAAAACACAGATCAAGTTTGAATTTTGGTGGCGTCACTTTTACCGTTCTAGATTTATGCTCTTTCTGGCGGCAGCTGTGGTGTTGTCGTCAACAATGTATTAGTTTGTGATTAGGTCTAGTTTATGGTGAACCACTAGTTGTAGGTCAATGATATTTGGTATGCAATTGTATTAGCATTGGCACATCTCATTTTCATGATAATTTGGCCCTGCCCCTCAGTCATGGTCTATCGACTTTGAAACTTTTGCTTAGTTTACACATATTAGTTTGTGATTAGGTCAGTTTATGGGGGACCACTAGTGGTAGGCCAATGTTAATTGGTATGCAGTTGTATAAGCATTATCACATCTTATTTCCATGGAGAGTATTTGGCCCCACCCCATCAGTCATGGTCTATTAACTTTGAAACTTTTGCTTAGTTTACAGGTATTAGTTTGTGATTAGATCAGGTTAAGATGAACCGCTAATGTTAAGGCAATGATATTTGGTATGCACATTTATTGACCCCTGAGTAACGCGTTGTGGGGGACATGGAAATACCGGCCGAAAATCAGTGCCAATCAATTGTTTTTAAAAGAGTTATGCCCCTTGGAAACATTAATTATATTGAAAAATTGCATCGTTAGCGCTCTCATTTGCCAGATTTTTATGAAACTTATATCATAGGTTTATATTAGCAATGTCTTGGACGAGTTCGAAATTCAGTGCCGATCAATTATTTTTAAAAGAGTTATGCCCCTTGGAACATAAATTCTATTGAAAATTGCATCGTTAGCGGTCTCATGTGTTCAATTCTTGCCAGATTTTTATGAAACTTATATCATAGGTTTATATCAGCAATGTCTTGGACGAGTTCGAAAATCAGTGCCAATCAATTATCATACGACCGCAAAAAAATTTTGGGGTCGTATATTGCTATCATGTTGTTGGCTTCGTTGTCGTCTGAAGACATTTGGTTTCCTGACAATAACTTAAGTTTAAGTGTATGGATCTCTATAAAATTTTACCAAAAGGTTCAATACTACTAAAGAAAGGTTGGGATTGTTTTTGGGGGTGATGGTCCCAACTGTTTAGGAATTAAGGGCCAAAAAGGGTCCATAAACAAGCATTTTTCTAGTTTCAGGACAATAACTTGTGTATAAGTATATTGATTGCTCTGAAATTGTACCACAAGGTTCAATACCACAAGTCGAAGGTTGAGATTCACTTTGGGGGTAATCGTCCAAACCGTTGGGGAATTAGGGGCCAAAAAGGGTCTAAAACAAGCATTTTTCTAGTTTTCAGCAATTACTTGTGTTTAAGTGTATTGATGTCTCTTAAAATGTACCACATTTTACAAAAAGAAAATTTTCTTCAAATGTTATTTTTTTTGGGGAAAGGGGGGGGGGGGGGGGGGGGGGGGGGGTAAAAAAAAATTGAGGGGGGGACAATTTTTTATCCTCAAGATTTAAGAAATTAACAAGAAAATTTCTTCAAATATTTTTGGAAAAAGGGGGGGATAAAAAAAAATATTGGGAGGGGTGTCAATCTTTTTTCTTCAAGATTTAAGAAATTGTTAATTTTCCAAAGAAAAATTGGGGGTCACCATTGCTAATTCTTTGTATATAGGCTGAAAACAGATTTACTAAGTATCGCACAACAGCACAGTGTATTGCACAAAAGCAAGAAATCTTCAATTGAATATAAATTCAAATCATATAACCAATTTTAAGTTCTTTGACTACATTTATTCTGTGTCAGAAACCTATAATGTGTCAAATATTTAATTACAATCCAAATTCAGACCTGAATCAAGCTTGAATATTGTGTCCATTTTTGCCCCAACTGTTCAGGGTTGGATCTCTGTGGTCGTATCCAGCTGCGCTTGGCGAAGCAGTTTATTTTTAAAAGAGTTATGCTCCTTGGAAAAATAAATTATATGGAGAATTGCATTGTTAGCGCTCTCATATTTACAATTCTTGCCAGAATTTTATGAAACTTAAATCATAGGTTTATATTAGCAATGTCTTTGACGAATTTGAAAATCAGTGCCAATCAATAATTTCTAAAAGAGTTATGCCCCTTGGAAATATTAGTTCTATGGAAAATTGCCTTAAGAGTGCTCTAATGTGTACAATTCTTGCCAAATTTTTATGAAATTTATATTATAGGTTTATATCATCAATGTTCTTGAAGAGTTCAAAAATCAGTGCCTATCAATAATTTAAAAAAGAGTTATGCCCCTTGAAAATATTGATTATATGGAAAATTACAATGTTATCGCTCTCATCTGTTCTATTCTTGCCAGAATTTTATGAAACTTATATCATAGGTTTATATCAGCAATGTCTTTGACACTTTCGAAAATAAGTTCTGATCAAATATTTTATAAATATTAAACTAGTTATGATGCCCTTGGAAATATAAATTATAATGGAAATCACATTGCATTTGCTTTGATCCTTCATTTCTCTGAAGATATTAATAAAAAGTTTTAAAGAACAAAAAAAGGTGCTTATTTAAGTTATTGCCCTTGTACCTTGGATAGATAAAATATGTGCAACATGGGGGACATTAGAACTCTGTTCTTTTATTGGCATTTGCTAGTCTCGTTTCCATGAAGATTATATAGCCCCACCCCCTCATCATGGTTCATTGACTTTGAAACTTTTACATAGTTTACAAGTTAATGTTTTTGTTTAGGTTTGTTTAAAGTGAATGACTTATGTTAAGTCAATGGTATTTGGTATGCTGTTGTATTAGCATTGGCACATCTCATTTCCATGGAGATTGTTTAGCCATGTACCTTCAGTCATGGTTCGTTGACTTTTAATATTTGCATAACTTACTTGTTAAAGTATTGCTATTTTAATTTCAAAATTTGCATTATCAAAATTACAAAAAGGCGAGACATATCTCTGTGTTAACAGTTTATTTATTTTGGGCCCAGTTTTCAAGTTGGTCCAAATTAGGGTCCAAATTAAACTTTGTTTGATATCAACAAGAACTGAATATATTGGGTTCTTTGATAAGCTGAATGGTACTGTGTATTTAGATTTGGATTTTCAGCCCCTTTATCAAATTGGTCCACAGGGTTCCACAATTAAACTTTGCTTGATTTCCCCAATAATTGAATTCTTGGGGTTCTTTGATATGCTGAATCTAACCATGTATTTAAATTTTGGATATTGGACCATAATAGGTAAATGTCCAATTTCAAATTTTTCAGCTCTTTGACCACATTAAATCTGTTTGAGAAACCTATGCTGTCTCAAATTTTGATTACAATCCAAATTAGGAGCTGTATCAAGCTTGAATGTAGTGTCCATACTTGCCCCAACTGTTCAGGATTTGACCTCTGCTGTCATATCAATCTGTGCCCATAGAGCATTTTATTGTATTATGGCACAGTTTGTATGATACTGTGGATTCGTTTATGTTTGTGGGATTCAGAAAAAAGGTTTTTATACGACTGCAAAAAAATTTTTGGGATCGTATAATGGTATGATGTCATCGTCGTCGTCCGAAGACACATTGGTTTCCGGACAATAACTTTAGTTTAAGTAAATGGATCTCTATGAAATTTTTTAAGAAGGTTCAATACCACAAAAGGAAGGTTGGGATTGATTTTGGAGATGATGGTCCCAACCGTTTAGGAATTAGGGGCCCAAAAAGGGGCCCAAAACAAGCATTTTTCTAGTTTCAGGATAATAACTTGTGTATAAGTATTTCGATTGCTCTGAAATTGTACCACAATGTTTAATACCACAAGTAAAAGGTTGGAATTCATTTAAGGGGTTATGGGGCCAACAGTTTAGGAATTAAGGGCCAAAAAGGGGCCAAAAACAAGCATTTTTCTAGTTTCCAGACAATAACTTGTGTGTAAGTGTATGGATCTCTCTGATATTGTACCACAAGATTCCATATCACAAAGGGAAGGCTGGGATTAAGTTTGGGGTTAATTGCCCCAAACATGTAGGAATTAGGTGCCAAAAAAGGGCCAAAAACAAGCATTTTTCTAGTTTCCAGACAATAACTTGTGTGTAAGTGTATGGATCTCTCTGAAATTGTACTACAAGGTTCTATACTACAAAGGAAAGGCTGAGATTGAGTTTTGAGGTTATGGCTCCAAGGGGGGTTTCAAAAAGTTGGGGGGGGGGGGGATTTTTTTCCCAATTTTTTTAAGGGATTCATATTTTTTTTTCAAAATTTTTAAAATTTCGAATTTTTAAAAAGTTTCAAGAAGAAATCTTCAATTGCAAATGGATTTATAAGATCTTTGACCACATTTATTTTGTGTCAGAAACCTATATTATGTCAAAAATTTGATCACAATCCGAATTCAGACAGTATCAAGCTTGAATTTTGTGTCCAAATTTGCCCCAACTGTTCAGGGTTCGACCTCTGCGGTCGTATCAGGCTGCGCTCAGCGAAGCATTTTATTAAGTACTCATAAAAACTTAATTTTTAGATACATGACAGCAGTAAATGTTGAAACCACAAAAAAAAACTAAGAATAGTCGAAATTATGATTTTTCTCAAACAACGTAAATTGGTACCTCCAAAAACATTAATGAATCCAGTTTTTGCAATGTTTACATAGAAACCCTGAATATGAAGTGCTAACAAGTATTTCACAAAAAATAACACTAAAATTGAGAATGGAAATGGGGAATGTGTCAAAGAGACAACAACCCAACCAAAGAGAAGAAAACAGCCGAAGGCCACCAATGGGTCTTCAACACAGCGAGAAAATCCCACACCCAGAGGCGGGCTTTAGCTGGCCCCTAAACAAAAATGTGTACTAGTTCAATGAAAATCGATGTCACACTAAACTCCAAAACATATAAATGAACTATAATTAAAAAACATACAAGACTAACAAAGGCCAGATGCTCCTGACTTGGGACAGGCGCAAAAATGCGTAGGGGTTAAACATGTTTTGTGAGAATAATATGTATAACTTTTAGGGGTTTGAAGCTCTTTTATAGATTTACCTTCAACAGAAATGCTCAAACATATACATTTTAAAGTCAAGGATATTTTAAACATTTAAATGGGAGGAGCTATATAACCTAGAAAGTATTTCCAAATTCATCTAAGGTATAAATTGTCTGAGATAGTTGGGACTTAACTGTGATACATTTTAATTGATTAGGTTATGGGGCCAGATGGACAGCAGATGGCTCATCATTTAGAGGATTCTTAGAGCCTCAGATGGAAGGTGGACATGATGCTGGATGGAAGCATTGATGCTGCCAGTGTGCTAGTGCTAGTGCATGTACATTTATAGTTATAAAGAGATTATTGTGGATAAAAAGTCAGCTGTGATATAATAAAAATATGTGATTTGTCTCGGAGGAACTGAAATTAAGAACTTTGAAAGAACTGTGTATGATATTAAAAATTAGTCTCTATGCTTTAATTTTCTGAAGCAGTAACTATTAAATTATTCCATTCAATGAATTTGAAAAGTTGCACATATCATATTTGTCAGAAACACCATGTTGTATATAATAACATCACAATCCTCATATATATAGTACAATAGAATTCATTAATCATTGATTCACTGTGATCATGAACCCATTATTGTAAATGAATTAAAATCTTTCATGAGAACTGGTTGTTGTTTGTCAGGGTATTTAAATTCTTGGAGGGTGAACTATTCCATTGAATGAACACAATAGCTATTAGTATCTGTGGAGTTCATCCAATGGGAACTTTAAATTTCTTCTTGAAAAATTTGAACTTAATTTGTGTTATCAACTCCTACTGTAGTTTTCAACCCAGAGCTCCGAAACCTCACAGTAGGATTGTACACATACTGAAGTTATCCACCTTATATTATGAATTGTTTGAATAATTTTTCCCATTTCTCCAGACTTGGGAACTTTGTGACTTTTTAGCAAAAATTTTCAAAAGATGGTTTTCAATTTTTATACGACCGCAAAAAAATTTTGTGGTCGTATATTGGTATGACGTTGGCGTCGTCGTCCGGCGTCGTCGTCCGAATACACATTGGTTTTCGCACTCTAACTTTAGTTTAAGTAAATGGATCTTTTTGAAATTTGACCATAAGGTTAAATACCACAAAAGAAAGGTTGGGATTGATTTTGGGGGTTATGGTACCAACAGTTAAGGAATTAGGGGCCAAAAAAGGGCCAAAAATAAGCATTTTCTAGTTTCCAGACAATAACTGTGGAACGGTGTATGGATCTCTCTGAAATTATACTACAAGTTTCCATACCACAAAGGGATGGTTAGGATTTGCTTTGGGGGGTTATGGCTCAAACCGTTTAGGAATTAGGGGCAAAAAGGGGGAAAAACAAGGTTGTCCTGGTTAATGGACAAATACTTTAGTACAAAACATAATTTAAAGCAGTGTAAGGGAGATAAATCAAATACATCATTGAAATTATCTCCCTTACACTGCTTTTAAATTATGTATAAAGTAATGGTTAATGAACAATAAAGATAATTTAAAACAGTGTAAGGGAGGTAATCCAAATACAACGTTTTGGTTACTTCCCTTACACTGCTTTTAAATTATGTTTAAAGAAATGCATATTTATAAAGGAAGACCAGTAAAAATATCTGCAAATGTTGCATCATTTTTTTTACAAAAAAATCCATATGAAAGATTTGACACTATATTTTTAATTCTATTATAAAATAGATTAAGTTAGCACTATGGTAAATTTAAATGGGTAATTATGGTTGCCAACTCCATTGGAAATTTGAATTGAGATTATGACCATATCTTGAGGGAAAGAATTTTTTGGGGGAAAAAAGGAGGGGGGGGGGGGTAAAAAGAAATTGTGGGGGGTCAATTTTTTCTCATTTCAGATTTCAGAAATTAAAAAAATTATTCTTCAAATATTTTTTTTTTTTCAAATTTCAAATATTGAAAAATTTCAAGAAGAAATCTTTAATTGCACAGTATGGCGCATTAGATTTGTAAAATCTTTGATCACATTTATTTATTTGTTATGCCAAATCCAACTGTGTATTTAGATTTTTAATTTTGGGTCCAGTTTTCAAATTGGTCTACATTAAGGTCCAAAGGGTCCAAAATTAAACTTTGTTTGATTTTAGCAAAAATTGAATATATGAGGTTCTTTGATATGCTGAATCTAAACATGTATTTAGATTTTTGATTTTTGGCCCAGTTTTCAAGTTGGTCCAAATTGGGGTCCAAAATTAAACTTTGTTTGATTTCAACAAAAATTGAATATATGGGGTTCCTTGATATGCTGAATCTAACCATGTATTTAGATTTTTTATTTGTGGACCCCGTTATCAAATTGGTTCATATTGAGGTCAAAAGGGTCCAAAATTAAACTTTGTTTGATTTCATCTAAAATTGAATTATTGGGGTTCTTTGATATTCCAAATCTAACCGTGTATTTAGATTTTTAATTTTGGGTCCCGTTTTTTAAATTGGTCTACATTAAGGTCCAAAGGGTCCAAAATTAAACTTAGTTTGATTTTAACAAAAATTGAATTCTTGGGGTTCTTTGATATGCTGAATCTAAACATATGTTTAGATTTTTGATTATGTGCCCAGTTTTCAAGTTGGTCCAAGATAGGGTCCAGTATTTAAACTTTGTTTGATTTCAACAAAAGTTGAATTCTTGGGGTTCTTTGATATGCTGAATCTAAACATGTGTTTAGATTTTTGATTATGGGCCCAGTTTTCAAGTTGGTCTAAGTTGGGGTCCAAAATTAAACTTTTTTTGATTTCAACAAAAATTGAATATATGGGGTTCTTTGATATGCTGAATCTAACCATGAATTTAGATTTTTTATTTGTGGGCCCCGCTATCAAATTGGTTCATATTGAGGTCAAAAGGGTCCAAAATTAAACTTTGTTTGATTTCATCAAAAATTGAATTATTGGGGTTCTTTGATATTCCAAATCTAACCGTGTATTTAGATTTTTAATTTTAAGTCCCGTTTTTTAAATTGGTCTACATTAAGGTCCAAAGGGTCCAAAATTAAACTTAGTTTGATTTTAGCAAAAATTGAATTCTTGGGGTTATTTGATATGCTGAATCTAAACATGTGTTTAGATTTTTGATTATGGGCCCAGTTTTCAAGTTTGTCCAAGTTGGGGTCCAAAATTAAACTTTGTTTGATTTTAACAAAAATTGAATATATGGGGTTCTTTGTAAGCTGAATCTAACCATGTATTTTGATTTTGGACATTGGACCATAATAGGTAAATTAAAAAAATTCAAGTTCTTAGACCACATTCTTTCTGTGTCAGAAACCTATGCTGTGTCAAATATTTAATAACAATCCAAATTCAGAGCTGTATCAAGCTTGAATGTTGTGTCCATACTTGCCCCAACTGTTCAGGGTTCGACCTCTGCGGTCGTATCAAGCTGCGCCCCAGCGAAGCATTTTATTGTTTTTAACCCAGATCTTTGGAACTTCACAGAGAGTTTGCAAATCCAATAAGGTTTTGCATCTTCCATTATAGAGTGTATATTTTCCCTTTTTCACTATTCATATTTTCATAAATTTATATTTTAAGTACAGAACATTCTCCATTGTTTAAGAAACAATCCATGCAGCCCAGCACTTTGTCTCTTTAATCCATTTTTATGTATACCGGTAACTGAGAAAGAATCTACATTCAGTTGTAGATGTGCAAAATATGCCATTTGTAATAAGTTAAGACCATGGGTAATACTGTCATAATTTAAGATCATGGGGGTATTTTTGATGTACATAATATACCATTTGACATAGTTTAAGACTATGGGGCTATTGTCAAAATTTAAGATCATGGTGGTATTGTCAAAATGTAAGACCATGGGGGGGGGGGGGGGGGGGGATTGTTAATATGCATAATAATTTTTTTATACCAATTTTCATAATGTAAGACCATGGAGGCATTTATATTGATGTGCATGAAATACCATTTGTCATAATGTATGACCATGGGGGTATTGTTGATGTGAATAATATACCATTTTTTATAATGTAAGACCGTCAGGGTATTGTTGATGTGAATAATATACCATTTGTCATAATGTAAGACTATGCAGGGATTGTTGATGTGAATAATATACCATTTGATGTTATACAATTATTTGAAAATGATAAATTTTGTACAAATTTACCCCTATTATTGTGATCCTAATAGATTTGTGGAGATTTCGTTTTAAATTGTGCAATATGTGCCATATTTTGTTTTTAATTTTTATTCAACTAAATTTTATACGTCACATTTAGATTTTGAATGACTAAGTTACATGTGAATAATTAGATGTTTGTTTTGTAGCTGTGATTTTATCATTAATTGATGGAAAGATGAATGATCAGTTGTTTAGTTAATGCATTTGTAGAGAGAGAGAAAGAAAGATAGGCAGTTCATTTTTGATATAATTTTGTTATTTATATTTGATATATATTTATTATAATGTACCTCAGGTAATAAATATTATCGATACGTGTTGTATGGAAAAGATGGAAGTTTTAATTAGGGAAAATTTATTTCTTGAATAAAATTTATTTAAATAAAAAATTCTGCAATTGACAAAATAATGAATGTTGAATCTATGCACCTATTTATATTGTTAACATTTTTATACAACCGCAAAGTCGTATATTGGTATGATGTTGGCTTCTTCGTCGTCGTCGTCGTCCGAAGACACATTGGTTTTCGCACAATAACTTTAGTTTAAGTGAATGGATCTCTATGAAATTTTACCATAAGGTTCAATACCACAAAAGGAAGGTTGGGATTGATTTTGGGGGTTATGGTACCAACAGTTAAGGAATTAGGGGCCAAAAATAAGCATTTGTCTAGTTTTCAGACAATAACTTGTGGAACGGTGTATGGATCTCTCTGAAATTATACCACAAGTTTCCATACCACAAAGGGATGGTTAGGATTTGCCTTGGAGGGTTATGGCTCAAACCGTTTAGGAATAAGGGGCAAAAAAGGGGGAAAAACAAGGGTGTCCTGGTTAATGGACAAATACTTTAGTACAAAACATAATTTAAAGCAGTGTAAGGGAGGTCATTCATATACATCATTTGAATGACCTCCCTTACACTGCTTTTAAATTATGTATAAAGTAATGGTTAATGAACAATTAAGACAATTTAAAAGCAGTGTAAGGGAGGTAATCCAAACACAACGTTTGGATTACCTCCCTTACATTGATTTTATATTATGTTTAAAGAAATGCATATTTATAAAGGAAGACCAGTAAAAATATCTGCAAATGTTGCATCTTTTTTTTTTTTACAAAAAAATCCATATGAAAGATTTGACACCATATTTTAAATTCTATTATAAAATAGATTAAGTTAGCTCTATGGTAAATTTAAATGGGTAATTATGGTTGCAAACTCCATTGGAAATTTGAATTGAGATTATGGGAGGGGGGGGTATAAAAAGAAATTGTGGGGTGTCTATTTTTTCTCATTTCAGATTTCAGAAATTAAAAAGAAAAATTCTTCAAATATTATTTTTTTTGCAAAAAAAAAGTGTGTGTGTGGGGGGGGGGGGTTACTACGCAACAGCATAGTGTATTGCACAAAAGCAAAAAAAAAGGGGGGGGGGAATTTTTTATTTTATTTTGTGGGGGAGGGGGGGTCAA